GTGTGTGGGGGGTGGGGTGCTGTGTGTGTGTGTGTGTGTGTGGGGGTAGGGGTGCTGGTAGGGGTGCTGTGTGTGTGTGGGGTAGGAGTGCTGTGTGTGGGGTGGGGTGGGGATAGGGGTACTGTGTGTGTGTGGGGGGAAGGGGTGCTGTGTGGGGGGAGGTGGAGGTAAAAAAAAAAAGGTGTATTAAGTCTATATGCCCCCCCCTTCCTCCCTCCCTCCCTCCCTCCTTCGATGAAAGAGGGGGTACACAACCCTCCCTGGTGGTCCGGTGGTGGTAAGTACAGTAGGGAGCAGCTCTCCTGTCCTCCCTCCCGCGCGATGCTGTGTGGAGCGTTGCCATGGTAACGCACGGCAACGCTCCACACAAGTGGCTCGCGGGAGGACAGGAGAGCTGCGTAAGCAGAGTAGGCGCCTGCCGTTTTGGGCAGGTGCCTACTCTGCATTGATGGCGAACCTATAGCCGTGTGCCCACAGAGAGGGCCCGGTGTGCCACAGGTTCGCCATCACTGATCTATACACTAAAACTGCTTCATTAAGCTAAAGTTGTTTAGGTGACTATAGTTCCCCTTTAGGCAAGCACTACTCCACAATACCCCAATATCTGTGGGACCGGAACATGAGACATGAGAGATACCCTTATACTATAGCCACTATCAGGGACGTTTTAGCCGCGAGGCAAACAAGGCATTTGCCTTGGGCGGCATTTTCCAGGGGGCGGCAAAAAAAGCCGCCTCCAAATGCCCAGGGCAAATGCCTTGTTAGCCTTGTGGCTAACTGACATGCTGGGCAGGCTGCTGGGTTGGGCGAGCGGCGCTGGTGGGCGGCTGGCGAGGGAGCTCTTCCTCTGAGCTGTCTGCTCAGCTCCCTCGCGCGCCGCCTGCAGAGTGAGGCTGGGAACTGGAATATGACGTCATATTCCGGTTCCCAGCATCACTCTGCAGGCGGGGCGCGAGGGAGCTGAGCAGACAGCTCAGAGGAAGAGCTCCCTCGCCAGCCACCCCCCAGCCCAGCAGCCACTGGACCCCCAGGGAGAGAGGGAAAAATAAATATAGAAATATGTTAATGTGAGTGAGTGGGTGCATATGTCTGTTAGTGTGTGAGTGTGTGAGTGAGTGTGTCTGTTAGTGTGTGTGTGTCTGTTAGTGTGTGTGTGTCTGTGTGTCTGTTGGTGAGTGTGTGTGTCTGTTAGTGTGTGTCTGTTAGTGTGTGTGTGTTTGTGTGTCAGTGAGTGTGTGTCTGTTAGTGTGTGTGTGTGTCTGGAAGTGAGTGTGTCTGTTAGCTAGTGTATGCGTATCTGTCAGTGAATGTGTGTGTATTTAGAAGGCGGGGCACGGGAAAGGGTTGGGTGGGGGTGGCGCGGGGGGTGGCGCGGGGGGCGCCTGAGTTTTGTCCTGCCTAGGGCAGCACAAAACCAGGATACACCACTGGCCCCTATACACCACATTACAGACTCTTTCTCCCCCTCAACACACATACACACTACAGCCCTTATTTCCCTTACAGCACAGACTGAATTTTCTTTGCAAACCCACCCTATAGCCTTTATCACCCTAAATGCTCCATACTGCCCCTATTCCTCTAAACACACTCTACAGCCTGTTTGATCAACAACAGACACACTACAGCACCTATCTACATACAGCCCATTTTTAAATGCACAAACACATATTACACTGAATAAAGACCCACCAAGATACACAACCCCACATCAGCCTCCCTCCCACATATGCAACCCTACAAGTATCATTACCTTCACACCTGCAACCACACAAGCAGCATCTCCCCCACACATGCAAACCTACAAGCACCCTCCACCCACATACTACACCTCACAGGCAACATCCCCACACATGAACACAACCCCACAAGCAGCATCTCCAGAAATAAGCCACACCACAAGTAGCCTATCCTCATAAATACCACAACAAGCTGCCACCCACATACATGCAACCCCACAAACAGCCTCTCCACAAACATACAACACTACCAGCAGTATCCCCACAAACATGCAACATGTGAAGAATTTATCACAACCATCCCCCCCCACACAAACACAACATAACAAGCAACCTACATGTACACACACAGCCTCTCCCAGCTCTTGTCATCCAACCACCACCTGCCTAGTTACATTCACCATTTAACCATACCCCAAACTAGTCGCATTAACGCATCCTAAGGATTACTGAAAACTTTAGGGTGGTTGTAATTGGCTATAAATCAGTATAGTTAGAGGAAAGTGTGTAATCTCTGTCTGAGCCATACCTCCTGCAGGGCTGGGCTGTGGGTGGTTAGGTTAGCGATCCATGTTTAGTATCAAACTGCTAGAAAATGGTTTAACACTAACTGGAGAAACTATACCAGGGGACTCCAGGCACTAGAACCAATTCTATGAGATGAAAAGGTTATAGTGCCAACAGTGTCCCTTTAAGCTTTCCTTCCATCCTCCTCTTACAGTGCCAGACAGGAGTCATTGTTGGGCCCTGAACGGCACCCTGTCTTACCAGGACTAGGGAACTGTTCCTGTCTGCTTTCAGATGAAAAATACCTGAATCGGTTTCCAATTCTGGGTCAGTTCCAAGCTGAGGACTTTGTTTCCAGTCCCCGATTAACCGTTTCCATGCCATGAAACACTCAATCCCACGTTCACGACACAAGGCATGAAAGATAGATTTATTTTTTATTTTTTTGAAGGAGTCTCATTGCATTGTTATGCCACTGGCATACGCAAAGATTTCCCAGCTCTTTTGAAGTTAGTAGAGATGAGCTAGACCTTGTGTTGCTGGTCTTTTTCAGCCACAAAAGGGTAAAAATTAGAATTTGGCATCCAATGCCAATCTGTTTTTTTTTTTCTTTTTCATTCTGTCCCAGAAATTGCTGACAGACACAGTGCCCTTTCTGTTTCCGCAGGTCTGCGCTGGTTGGGACACAAGATCAGTTGCTTCTGTCTCTTTTCCAAAAGTCTCATTCCACAAGTTGAGTGGAAAGAATCGAGCTGTTCATGTGAAGTTAGCTGACAGAGTTGTCCTCCTAAAGATTAGCATTGTATTCCCTAATGCTTCTGATCATCTTGTCTTTTGAGATATTTAGCCCCACATCACATTTAATCTGCTTTACCTTCCTGACTATAACAAAAATAAAAAATAAACATTCTATTTTAAAATGAAGGCTTAGACACTTATCAGATTGCATTTTATTTTCATCTGCATTTAGTTAAATGAAATCATAATAATAAGCGGGTCTGTGGATTAGCACATTGCTTGGGGTCTTCGTTCTATTGTTAATTAAAATGATATATTGTAAGAAACTTCTCCCACTCTGATATCTTACAATTTCCTAATCGGTTTGTCTTAATAGATGGTTTAAACCATTTGTGAGATAACCCTGTGTTTTACTTTGCAGTTAATTACAAAATTCAAGATGTGATGGCACATATGATTTTATTTTCTTCTTCTTTTGCTTTAGGTACAGATTATTTAATAGCTGGGCCTGAAGATAATCGCACAAATAAACTGCTGGTTAATATGAACAGCCTGGTGAAGCCTTGGAAAGCTGTATGGGCAAAGCAGGCAATGGACATCATACGATCAGGCTGCAAAAAGAGCTTTTAGTACCCAGCGGATGTGATGATGGGGGGATCTCTGCTTCTCTCTAGTACAAAGACCTTCTCCTACATGTACACATTTTAGAGCTAGTAAACATTTTCCTAAAAATTAGCTCCTAATATCAGTTTTTAATCTATACATGTAGTTAGGCTTTATTAGCCTAAGGAGGGTAGGCTACACAGTGCCTCCTCTTGATGGGTGGCTATAATCTCTACCATTAAAGTTCTGTCCAGTAGAGGGAGGGGGAATTGAGGGGGTGACTGAATCCTTTATCTTCTTCTGCAAAAAATAAAGCAACACCTGGAGGCTTGTTGTAGCGCACATTCCAGAACATTGCCACAAGGTATCTATATTAATATATCTACCTTGATTGACATTTTATCAAAAATTAATTCAGAAACATCCTGTTGTCTGTCCTGTGGAGCCATGGGGCTAGGAAACAATATCTTTATAAGACCTGATGATTGGACAATTACAGAGAGCAAGCAGTATGCCTGTGTGTTTTTTGTGAACTCCACGCACCAATGGCGTATGCAGGTCTAGATCTCTTAGAAAGGGGGTGGTGGGGTTACAACAAAAACTGATTTCAAGCTGGCTTCAAACTTTGATTACAGCATTGTCAAATTTAGTGAAAAGTCTAGTACATCACGTGTAAAGGATTATTGCTCGAGGAATGTTGATATTGTCGAGGACATACTATACATGGCATTTTTTGCAGCAGCTGTAAAATAGGTAATTTGTAATATTGCAATCATATTGTTAAAGGGCTAAACAGAATTTATAATCAACTGCTACCCATATAATAATCTATGTAAAATGTCAGCACTGCTTTGAGGCTATCATTTGGAAAATGTATCGCCGCCGCTCATTCTGTAATCAGTGTTTTATTGCAACAGTTCAGCAAGCCTGAAAGCCCTGTATGAATCTAGGATTGTTCGCTATTTGTATTTTTCGTTCACCATTATAGAAATCTAATTAAGTGCCAGGTCACTAAAGAAATGCTTTAATATTTACTCCCTGAGCTCTTGGGAGCAGAGATTAAACACATTATGCTGCAAATACTTGTAGAGTGTTATGGGCCCCTCGAGTACAGGGGAGAGACAGACAAACAAGCTCATTTATGCTTTAACTACACCATGTGTGGTTTTCCTAAAAGATCATCTGTTTGGGGGTTTTTTTAATACAAGAAAAAAATATAAAAATCAAGAACCAGGTGGATAATATTTCTTTGTATATATATATTATATGCTTGTTTTCTGCTCCCATGATGCTTACTTTTTCTTTCTTCAGGGCTTTCCTAAAAAAAAAGTTTTTGTTTTTTTTGTACTTAATTGTAAAAATTAAAACTATTTAAATACTACAGTCTACTTTTTTTTATTTTATAATGCTTTATTTTTATGTGCACAAGAGTAACAGTTGTTCTTGCAATGCCCCAACAGCAGTGACAAGTCAAAGAGCTAAACATAGCATAACAGGTACAAGGCATTCGAGTGTACAGCACAATTTTTTTTAAAAGTGGTATAAGGTACATGCTAGGTCTAACATGTCTATAGGGAGTATGGAGAGTAAGCGTGCGCTTCCATTATTACAAGCTGGTTCATAGACAACAAGTAGCTAAGGATAACAAGGTAGTTTGTGACACATGCTTATGGTGTTAAGGGGTAATGTGATAAGACAAGTTTGTTTGTAGTACATGCAAAACATCTGAAGACTGGCCATTTCTGAGGCTGAGCGCATTTCAAGCCTATCCCTTTAAGCAAGCAAAAAATCCTAGTCTGTGTTGTGTCCATACGTTTTAAAAGGTTGTAGAATATACAGCAAATCATATCAAGCTAATCTGTTTGGTTCTGCGCAATCTAAGCACAGGAGATTCTAAGTGATGAGAGATGACAGTGATACATTATTAGACATAGTAAGAGGCATGCCTTAGGTAGCAAACTAGTGAAGCATATAATATATGAACTGGCAATTATATAGGTGCTATAGATCGATCAATATAGTCAGAGTGTGACATGAAACTGCATTCTTTTGTTTAAGGTAGCTTAGCTGGGAACCAGAATTAAGCGTTAATACGTGGTGGACAGCTGATCATAAGCTTTGTGTCCCAGAATGTCCCCCAATGCCTCCCCTGTCAGCCTATACCTTCCAGGGTTACTGTCCAGACCTGTGAACCGCACGGGAACTCAGCTGCCACAGGTACCAGTCCTGAGAGACCTGATGCTAGGCTTCCTGGTGTGTGTCCGACGTAGAGGCATGCTGTATAGCATCCAGGTCTGTTCGTCCTCGTCAGCTGCGTCCTGCGGGTATTGGTGCTTGCGCTGCATGGTTCTTTTGCTTGGCTTAGTTTTAGCTGGCATGAGGCTGGCTTCAACCTGCTTTGTGTAGCTTTCAATGGTGGGCGTCGATGTTTCTGTGTCGATGGCGTGTTGCGCTGTCTTTGGCGCCATTTTCTGGCTTGCAGTTTTCGGCTTGTCGTGCCGCTGGACCGAATACGAAAGGGCTGCGTCTTCAGTGAGTACTTGCTCTGGGTTTTTGCTGTGGCCTGTTTTTCTTCCAGCTTGTGCCAGAAGGCCTCGAATAAGGCATTAAGCCTCTTCAGGCCTGTCTCTTGCGTCGCAGTGAGTGTCTCCGGGCCAGTAGCCGCCATTTTAGGGCCGGTTCGGCTCGGCTCAGATTGCTGCCACAGCACCTGAGGGTACCCTCTTGGGACCGGGATGACCCCCACCGGTCCATAGGGGGGGGAATGTGGGCATGTGAAGAGGTCAGTCGAGTATATAGGCGGCGGGAGAGCCCCCACGCCTCGCGTGAGTGTAGGCCTCATAGTACCGCCGGGCGAGTTTGAGTGGGGCATCCACATGTGTGGTATCGTTGCGCAGGTCGTTGGTTGCTTTGTCATTTGCCAGCCTGTGGATGACCAATTTCAGTGTCTTTGGGGGAAAATCGCCGCTTAGAACACCTTTTATCGCAGGAGCTCTTGCTGCCTGCGTCCACTCCGCTCAGCGGTCAGGCCCCGCCCCCCCCCAGTCACCTACTTTTTAGTTTTAATACGTATATTAGGCTCCACATGTCATGTCCAACACTACTAGCCATATGTAAACGTTATTTACCTCTGCAAGCATTCTGTAAAGTGACTTGTGTGAATGGATGTGTCAGCAACAAGTATTGCCACCCTCCACATATACCCTTGCGCCATCTGACAATTCCTAGCATGCTACAAGTGAGAGAAAGCCTTGCACAGCTTGTGAAATAGATTTTTGTCGTCTTTTTACTGCTATGAAAGTTAGAAAATTTAATGGAATGCAAGCAATTTTAGATGCAATAGTAATCATTTATGAAGAAAATGTAAAAGCTGATCACACTGAATTTACATCAGCAGTGTGTCACGTATTCATCTGCACATAAAAATTTGGTTAATAGCATTTACTGTCCTGACAGGAAAAGTTGTGCCGAGCAACACTACCATCCTGACAGGAAAAGTTGTTCCAAGCAGCAATCATGCACATGGAAACCTGGTAATTACTTTTGGGGTCAAAGCCCAGTCACATCCACAGGAGGGTTTGTGCTGAGCAGCGATCATGCACACCTGGTAATTGCCTTTGGGGTCAAAGGCCAGTTACAGCCAATCGGATCCACAGGAAGGGTATTTAAACCCAACTCTCCTCTTGCTCATTGCCCTGTCGTAGTTTCATGCCTATGGTTATCCGAGAGTGCGTTCCTGATCTTGATTTTTTGGTATTTGACTCGGCTTTGTTTTGACTTCCCTGATATCTGGTATACTTGAGTTTGGCTTTCCCTCATCTTTGTGTCTGATTCTGTGTCCCTGACCTCGGCAAGTATTTTGACTATTCTTGGAGACGTTAAGTCCAGCCTTTCTAAGGTCCGGTTATACGTTATCCTTAGTCCTAGGTGTGACACAATACTGCGTGCTGGATCAACTTGTAGTCCTGACACAGTGCAGCCATTATTAAAGTAAGCTGTTACTTTCAAACCAGCCTTGAGAATTCTCACAGGCTGTCGTAGGGTGGGCCATGACACACGAGCTAGGGATGAATTTCTACTTGCCAAAAGGTAAATTTATATAATGGAAAATGTGGGCCCTCTGTATATTCATATCATTGCAGTTGGAGGCATTTAAAAGGGACACTCTTTAATGGCCAATTAAAATAAAATCAATGTTTACAAGATATTCACCAATGGAAACATACATTTAATTATGCATTTTCCCATTGGGGATATATCTAAAAAACTGATTGCAAAAGCTGCAGAACTCGTGTCCAGCCTTTGCAAGCCCTCTTCTTTTTCCCCAGCCCAGACATTCTGTGGCTGTCCAATGCAGTTTAATGAGAAGTCTTTGCAAGGCATGTGTTCTAGTTTAGGCAATTGCTGCCTCTTGCTGACCTAAACAAGATAGGAAGTAACAGAATAGGTTATCTGACAGTAAGGGGGTGTAACCAGGTTTAATTTGCAAAAATGCAAATCTCTATTGAAATCTGTACTTTTTGTAAATTTAAAGAGAGAGGATACATTCTTTACACAAAGCAGTTTAAAGTGCTTCAGATGTCTGGAATTTTCCTTTAATGCAGATAACCTCACATTTCCCATAATTCCTCTCAGCTTGGGTAATGTTCCTAAACAAACTGCTAATATAAGTTCCACTGAGGACCATTTTCTCCACAGGCTAAGGCAACATGATGAGATGGCAGGAGGCATAAGAAAAGTAAGCAAATTGCATAGAATTGGTAGATTTGAACAATTTCTTCATAATAATGGTGCACATAACAGGATTCAGTCTGTAGATGCATGGGGTTTTATACACACCCCTGAATCTTTAAAAAAAACAAACAAACAACCTAACAGTGTCATCTTGGATGGATGCATTAATTAAATCAAAACTAAAAAATGGGGCTGTTCCCCTTTACCCCTCCCCCCATTCAACCACAGTATATTAGGAACTGGGCAGGGTAGATCCTGCTGCCAAACATGTATGTCAGAATACCCATCTTTCTTTCTACATTGAGACACGGAACACACATTGTTAATTGAGTTTTTGTTGTTTTTTTTTTTACATGCCTTTACCAATGTTGGAAAGTAAAGAACTGAATAATCATTGCAAGGTAAAAAGGTATTTAATGTGGTTTAATCGCTCACATTTTCTTTATACAGATCTCCATGAGGAATACAGTCTCACATATTCAGTGCAGGATTCTAGGATTGTGGCAGTACAGTAAGAAAAGGATTTCAGGCACAGGCAGGAGGCGATTGCTCAATTTGTCTCCTATTGAGCGACTGATTGAGGAACATTATTATTTTCTTAAAATAAGAGATTTTGACAGTGACATCAGTGCTGTAGCATTGCTAAACCATCTAGGAACCCAGTAAAGGATGGGGAGAGTGGGAAAAATAACAGCAACCCATCTTCTCATGTACTCGCTGCAAACAATTAAAGTTGTTCCCTTATTATATTAACTGAAAAATGTAGAAAAAAAAATAGGCATTAAAATAAACTATAATTAAATAAAGCTTTAACACACCTTGCCCCAAATATTTCTGCTGCAAATATAAAAATCTGTTGACAGAGGCCTTTGTGACCTATTAACAGGAAAAACAAAGGATATGAAGAGAATTTAGAAAGGACAGGCACATGTCTAAAATCAGAACCAAGGCAAATATAATTAAACATGGATGTTGATAAATCATATCCTCAGCTTTGCCTAGACTCCAAATGTGTGCAGCTGCTGTAGCTCTCATCCAAAGTTAACTGATTATGGTGTACACGTCATAGGTCAGTGGAAATACACTTCTTAGCTTATCATGGTCCATTGAACGGGCAAGGATAATCCATGAGGCAACAGCCTCGTTTTTTTCCTATTAGCTAGATCCCTCCTCTTGGACATCAGTAGCAGCCGCAGGAGCAGATTCCTCCGTGTTACTTTGTTTCATTGCATCATCCTCATCGTCCTCCTGGGGGTAGAGCTCTGGGTATTTCTGCATGCACTCTTGCATTGCCCGAAATTGTTCCAGGCAGTCTGAGCCTTTTATTTCCTCTTGGCTGTAGTGGAAGCAAGAGAAGGCAGATTTGAACTGCTCTCCACATGGTCCACTAGCCATGCCACCCAGGCAGGGGCAGTTCCAATTGATATCTCCATTTGGCAAGATCAGCCCTGGGTAAAATGAAACAAATAATAAAAACACAAAACAAACAAAGTTAGGTTACTGCAGCTATTAAGCCAAATATGAAATAGTCTAAGCACTGACTTGCCTATGCAGACCTAGCAGTGAAACAGTTAACAATACAAAAATGTCAGTTACATATAGAATTTGTTCAATATAAATAGATGGTTATAGTGGATTGGATGTTATGGATTGCTTTGCATGTAACTCCCTGCCAATAAAGCTGGCTTCAAAATTCTAAACAATACTTGTGAAGCCAATTTACTGCTTACTTATTATGGCCTAGACAGCAGTCATGTTCAGAAAAAGTTTACACTACTCCGAGAGAACACTGAATCCATATGCTAAGAATGCCAGAATAAATAAATACCATAGTTTATAATAAGCTTGTTACTGCACATTGGAAAGTGACATTGGTGCAGAGTGCCAGCAATGGCTCATCAGCTATTGTGTGACAAGTGCGAACACTATCTAGCCAATCATGAGAAAATGGATAGATGAAAAGAATGGGACGAAAAACTATACAAAACATGTCAGGCTTCAGTTCAATGTATGTGTTTCCGGCAAACGTAGGTTTAACTCTGTGCCTGCTTTATAATTCCAGCATTCTACATTTTCTTTCAGGGAGACATCAAACAATTCCAGAACTACATCAGCTGCGCTTAGCTTGCAAGACGTAAAATAACGCACTGAAAATTAAACTGGGCATTTCCAGAGCATTTTAACAATTCTGTTCATAACCTCTGCTGAGATTACAAAGTCACATAAATTACTAATATTTTCTGCAGTGAATATCAATCTGAAAATGCCTTGGTGACCCTACTATAGAGGAGAATAGCGACACAATGTGGAAGAGATGTCTTCTGAGAAGACAAACCCTTTCTCCAACGAGCCAATGATTAATGATGTGGCACTAATGTCTCTATTATTTATCCTCTGCCCATGGAAAGGGAGCTGATGTAGTACAAAACATGCCCTCCAATGCCCTGTAGTAATTCTCACTGACCTGCGGTAAGGGTTATTGATGACATAATGCTTAGCTCCCTACACACAAAGCTTTCTGTAATGCCAAGGGATGTTTTCAATCTTTTTGAGGTCACTGGCAGCTTTAGACAATGTCTCCCACCCTTTCCCCCCCCCTTAATACAAGTGACAGGCGGGGTGAATCTAGGTATTCATGTCTCGCAGCCAGCTGCAGTCCGACTGTGACACCAATCCTTTCAGAAGCAGTCAGTAGTGACAGACAAGTCAATAAGGGCCGGAATTAACCATTCCAAGTCTGGCTGTCACCCATGGAAACAAACTCCTGGGAAAGATTCACATGTCTCTGAAGCACACAGGCCTGCTGTCTGAACTGTGTCAGTATAGGGTGGATTGAAAACAATGTGTTTACACAAGTAGCAGAGAATATGGTCTTATTGGGTGTTGCAAATTTCTTTACATTTACCTCAGTCAGAACGGAGGTTATAAAATGTAAACTGTGTAGAGGATTAAGTGATGTAATCAAGCAAATGGGAAAAGGTATCTCTTCAGTCTCAACACAAAGATAAGTATTAAAAACTAAGTATTTATAATTACTTTTATTAAAATTAATGAATTTAAAATGAGGAAAGAAAACCAACAAGGGGGCAAAGTTAAATTCCTATAACAACAATTTGCCGTGCTTGTAACTCCTCCCTCTTAGATGAACATGTACAGATAATCTGAGGGTACGTGCTTCCCATACCAGGGCATGCTTAGAGACATCCGCTGACTCTGCATACTGTGGTAATCTGGTTTTGGATCCGTAGCCATTCCCAATTTAACTCTTTAAAAAGGAATTTAAAAATATTGCTTGCCATCCAAATCTAATTATTGGAACCAAAAATGGCCAACAAGGCATTTCTAAGGGAGAACATTACTTAACAGGGGAACCTAAAATAATGCCCATTCATGTCCCCCACCCTGAACCAAATGTGATTTTTGTTTTGGTTTTTTTAATTGCCTTAATGCTGCCCTCTAGAGAGAACAAAATGAACTGCATGAGTGTACACGACTTTCAAGTAATTTCATCACTATTGTAACACACATCACATCAAAAGCAGAGTAACTGGGAAGGAAATATACAACCAACATTTAGGGGAAAATATAAGTACTTGATAAACGAAGATAAAAAGAATATTACATTACTATTATATTACTGCAGCATCAGTTTACAATGGGTAAAATCAAATGCAGACAAAAAGAAGGACCGTCATTTTCTAACAGAATGGTGTATTTGTAGTTCTGGTTACAGGGTTGTAGCATCATGAGAAATTTTAAATTAGCTTTTATTTTATTTGTTTAATATCACTTCAAACAGCAGATATAGATTTTAAACATTACACATACCGATATGTAGCACTAAACTAGTGTAGTATATTAGAAACAATTCAATCTAGGTATGAAATCCAAAATGAATCCAGAATTACAATCAAAATAAAGTTGTAAATGTATTCCATAAAGGAAAATCCTAGGTATAAAATATATTGACTGTGTTAAAAAGAGGAGAATGAGGGAGAGTGTTTTAGAACCCAAAACAAAATTGATACTCAAACCGGGAATTAAAAAGTGAATTACTACGGTCAGATCAATAGGTAAGTCCCCAATTTCCAGCTCAACAATTTTGGCTGAGGTATTATTAATGTACTGGTCAAATCTGCACAATTCAAAGTTTACTAAACAACTCTGAAAGAACATCTTATCAATCCAGAAGGCCTGGCACTATCTAACAAATAGACTATTACTTATGAATGACATAAGCCATAAGGGATCCAGGACTCTAGCTTGTTCAGACTTAAAGGAACACTATAAGGTCAGGAACACAAACATGTATTCCTGACCCTATAGTGTTTAACCCACCATTTAGGTAGCTTGCCCCCCCCCCCTAAAATTGGCACAGGGGTGTGGCCAAATGCTGTTTTGGCCAATCAGGACCTCTGCATAGAGATGCAGTGAATCAAGGCATCTCTATGAGGAAAATTCCACGTCTCCATGCAGAGCGTGGGGACGCTGAATGGCATTGCTCCAGAAAGCACCTCCAGTGGCCATCTGAGGAGTGGCCACTTGGAAGTGTCCTTAGGGGCAATGTAAATACTGCCTTTTCTCTGAAAAGGCAGTGTTTGCATGAAAATGCAATGAAAATGAAATGCAATGAAAATGCTTGAAGGGAGCTATACTCATCAGAACAACCACATTAAGCTGTAGTTGTTCTGGTGACTATAGTGTCCCTTTAAGGACCATTCCCTGAGTTTTTTTCAACGGGTTCTTTAAGAAACTGCAACTTTTCAAAATACTGAGTGTCTCGAGTTAAAAAATAAGCAAAAAACAAGCAAAAAACTAAACAAAAATGTATTAACATGCAGCTCAGCTGTACATATTTCCATTCTAACATTGCTGTTTATTAGACCATTCTGCTGACCACACAGAATTCAGAATATTTTACTGACCTTGGTCTTCATATGGGTCATTAGGATCATCTGCGATCAACTCTGCACTGCTAGGAGTCTCGTGATCTTCTTTGGTTACAAATATAATCTTGTCCTTTCCTGTGCAAAGACAACAAAAACTATTGGATGGATCTCCCAACAAAGCGGAATGCTGAGCTAACATTTCAGATAAATCCTACCCAATACCTCAATTTAATTATTTATTCAATTGCAGCTCCCCCTGCCCCGTTCTCTTAGATCCCTTTTCCAAAGAATGCTAAAGTAGATGTACCTCTTACAGCCAAGTCTTTCTTACCTTCCCACTGCCAGAGCCCTGGGTCTCACCTTCCCACTGCCAGAGCCCTGAGTCTCACCTTCCCACTGCCAGAGCCCTGGGTCTCACCTTCCCACTGCCAGAGCCCTGGGTCCCACCTTCCCACTGCCAGAGCCCTGGGTCCCACCTTCCCACTGCCAGAGCCCTGGGTCCCACCTTCCCACTGCCAGAGCCCTGGGTCCCACCTTCCCACCGCCAGAGCCCTGGGTCCCACCTTCCCACCGCCAGAGCCCTGGGTCCCACCTTCCCACCGCCAGAGCCCTGAGTCCCACCTTCCCACCGCCAGAGCCCTGGGTCCCACCTTCCCACCGCCAGAGCCCTGGGTCCCACCTTCCCACCGCCAGAGCCCTGGGTCCCACCTTCCCACCGCCAGAGCCCTGAGTCTCACCTTCCCACCGCCAGAGCCCTGAGTCTCACCTTCCCACCGCCAGAGCCCTGAGTCTCACCTTCCCACCGCCAGAGCCCTGGGTCTCACCTTCCCACTGCCAGAGCCCTGGGTCTCACCTTCCCACTGCCAGAGCCCTGGTCTCTCCGCCCTTCCACCGCCAGAGCCCTGGGTCTCACCCTTCCCACTGCTGGAGCCCTGGGTCTCACCTTCCACTGCAGGAGCCCTGGGTCCCCACCTTCCCACTGCCAGGCCCACGGGTGCCTTCCCCACCTGTCCAGGGAGCCCTGGGTCCCACCTTCCCGCCATCGGAGCCCTGGGTCCCCGCCTTCCACTGTCAGAGCCCTGGGTCCCACCTTCCCACCGCCAGAGCCCTGGGTCCCACCTTCCCACCGCCAGAGCCCTGAGTCTCACCTTCCCACTGCCAGAGCCCTGGGTCCCACCTTCCCACTGCCAGAGCCCTGAGTCTCACCTTCCCACTGCCAGAGCCCTGGGTCTCACCTTCCCACTGCCAGAGCCCTGGGTCTCACCTTCCCACTGCCAGAGCCCTGGGCCTCACACCACCTTCGCCTGGCAGAGCTCTGTTCCTGTCCCTCCTATAGCCCCAGGTATCACGGTTTTCCTGGTTCCAGCCTTTGCCCTTGCCAGGACACCATAGTCTCCTGTCCCATGGGTCTGACCCTGTCCTGTCCTATCCCCAGTATCATGGCCTCTCCGTCCTGCCCCCCAGCTCTCTATCTGTCCCAGTTCCTGCTCTCACCTTCCTGCCTGCAGTAGGACATGGCTGCAGCTCGTGCACCCAGCTCCCGGCACAGCTCGGACCGCGCACACCACGTACGTCACACGGCGCGACGAACGGTGCGAAGGACATGACACCAGGCGACCAGAGCGATGCCTGACTGGCTTCACACCAATGTCGGGCAGAGACAGGAAAACTGTAATAATGCACAGTCAGCCACGGCTATTCTATCTAACACCGAATGCAAAGAGCGCAGATTCACAGATATATCTCATCATCTGATTGTAACCAACACAACCAATGGACAGGCAATCAGGCATAATCACGGGGAGACCAAGCAGGAGTGGGAGAACTACAATTCCCTGAATGCAATGCTGCGCATGCGCAGAGCTTTGACGTAGCAGGGAGGCAACTTTATACAAATTGGATTTGCCAAGTGAGAGAGAGACAGACAGATAGTCAGAGAGAGGGAGAAAGAGAGACAGACAGACAGACAGTCAGTCAGAGAGAGGGAGAAAGAGAGACAGACATTCAGAGAGGGAGAAAGAGAGAGGCCTGCTGAAAGAACCATGTCAAGAAATGTAAGTCACAGATTTAGATATAATACCCTCTATTTATAAAGTAGAATGAATATACTTTAAATTTTACCCGTAGAATAAAACCATTCTTAAAATACTGTATACTGGTCCTTACTTACAGTGCAGGAAGAGAATCATTTACATCATGCCCATGGAATAAAATATCCCCCCAAAAAATACTTGCTGCATAGAATGCAGTTTATTTTATATAGACTAAAGGGATATTTAAAATAAAGTAAAAGAAAATATCCTTACTTTATGTTCATTTCTTTATATTGTGTGTGAAATTATCTATCTATCTGTAATAGTTGTACCTTTCTGCACCATATGTTACACTGAATTGACTTTGCCATATGTTTATAAAAATTGAGATACAGTGTATTTCACTATTGCCATATGTTCCCTTTACATTGGAGCTATTTTGTGTAGTTACTTGTAAGTTGCCATTGGCAATATTCTGAGACATTGGAACCGTGTAACGTGATTTATTCTGTGATTTGCCAGCATCCAGATAATGTCAGGGAACATACAACTATCACTAGTGAACACAAACCAGGATTTCTGGAGCGTCTGAGTGATACTGCAGGGGGAATGATTCTGGGACTGCTTGCCTTTTCATTATCTTTCTATGTTCTGTTTACTAATGAGGTGAGTAATACAACCCCCCATCCTCATATGTATATGGTACTATTTGAAATGTAATACTTCTCTATAAAAGACAGTGCCTCATTTCTTCACCCTAGTCACCTAATACGTATCGAAGGTCTTACAGGGATCTTGATGATCTCTCATAGGAAAACATTTGGAATCTAGAAATTTGCAAAAAAATTTAAAGGAACACACCAAGCACCATCACCACAATCTTTCTGTATTTGTTATGGTCTCGGGGTGCCCTGGAACTCCTGTCCCCCTATTGTAAGTCAAGCCGTTTTTGAACTCCTTTCCTGGAGTCTGCTAAACACTGTCTCCCACTTCTACTACAAGTGCACGCGAGTCAGAAGTTCCTAAGCATCAACATCTATTAGATCTCCGGCCTGCAGTGCAAGGCTTAGCTCATTGGCTGAGAGTAATCGGCTGACTTAAAGTGGTAAGCTTGTTATATACAATGCGTGAATCGAAGTTAGTAACAACCAAACCCTTTCAGAGTATGCTTTTTATATGTTCCATGTAGCCACGAGAACCATAGAGTAACAGCAGAAATGTGCCCACTATATGCTGCAATGAATGAGACACTCAACTCGAATTGCTATCCAATGCTTTACAATTCAGATTTCTAAATCAAATGAATATGTAATAATTGCAATGTTATGCTTTCTGAGCAGGGTCGTGCAGTACGAACAGCGGCATCATTGGATGAGGGGCTATCCATTGTGAATTCTTTACACAATATTCACATGATAGACCCAGTACATGAAGGCAGTTTGGTGCATTTATCGGGGCCACTAACGACTCTGAAGGTTTGTATGACTCTCCTAGGACAATTTATCCAATAATGTTTGTGCAATACTGAGTATAGACATAATTAGGCAATACAATCTCCAACAGTTTGCCCTCCAGCTAAAATATTGCATTCATAATAAATACGTGAATTGTGTTTCTTTTTTTTTTGTTTCTCCTTCCTGTCACGAACGCACCCTACACCAAGAGTGTGTGTGACTTGGTTCTGGTAGTGAAAGGGTTAAAGTTCACTATTTGTCTGCACCAGACCGGACGTAATGATAAAAATCCCCCTTAACACCACCCACACTTAACCATAATAATATATATATTATTATTATTTTAAAGCTGCCACCACCAAGGAATATTTATTATGAGCAAAAAAATGGTCACAGGGAATACAAAAATATAGAAGACAATTAAATTGGTTACACTAACAAAAGATACAAACAAAAAGGATAAAATAACAAAAGTCCTAATCACTTACTCAAGGAAGATGGTGACTGACTCAAAATCTGAAGTTACCAAGCCTGGCCCAGAGGTGGAGATAAGGCGTATCTATAAAAACAATAAGTGAGCACCCCCTTGTGTTTTCACACCCACATCAGTCTAAATAGAAACTTTTGGTTCTATCTCCTTGTTTGTGCTGGCCACAGAAATAATAATTGCATCTATGAATTTGTTATATTTTTTTCCATTCCATCGATAGGTCAGCTTTCTCACATGTGACCTAATATAGCGTCCTTTGTAATTACTTCCAAATGACTTACGTGATAATCCCCATATTTACATTCTAATTGAAGGATTTGTTTTCCTCATTCTAAATATGCACAAAATAAGGTATGGTTATTAATCTGTGAGTTATTCTTAAGGTTTCTTTTTGGGATATGAAACTGGGACACAATGATTTTTTTTTAATTTTATTTTAAGGCTAATGGCCATTCATATCAAAGGACACCCTATCTAAGAGGGAATCTAGATATATGGCAAATTAGAGAGTTGGTTAATATTGAAACCAGACTTCCAGGTTACTTATGTGTGACTTCTCACACCTTACAGAGTAGCTCTGTTGGGGTCCCAGCTTCAAAAAGGAATACAATTAAACTTTCTGGTTGATGTTAGTGGAGACATGATACTTTCTACTTTGCTGCATAAATCAGACCAACTTGTGCAAGTTCAGAATGTGTGCCTTGCAATTCACTCTCTCTCTTAGAGAGAGACTGAGCTGAGACACACTGAGAATACTAAAGCTGTTACCAGCTTATTCAGCAAGTTTACTGATAGCTGAACTTCCTATCCCATAATATGTAGTGGGAACAGGGTGCCTTGTCCCTGACTTTGATTCGAGACCTGAGCCTACTACTGCCCATGTCTCTTCTCTGTGCCATAAGGGACCCAGGAGCCACTGTAACAACCAGGTGCCTCAGTGCCCTTTACCTAGCAGTGTGTTTTTCATCAGCGGTATCTTACAATCATTAGCTAGTCACTGGTTGGAATGACAAATAGATCTCCCAATCTCATACAAAGAAACTAGAAAAAGGCAACTATCTCATTAACAATAAGCAGGGGTAAGTATTGTTACTTGCAATGCACAGCGAGTGACACATGGGAGCTGGAGTCCACCCAGAGAGTCCCTTTAAGTCCAGCTTAAGCCACTAGAGGCTTATTCTCTGTAACATTTCCATTTCCAAGAAACTACAGTCTCTAACATTTCCAGAGAAAAGGGACAGCATTAAGCTGTAGTTGTTTTTGTGCTTACTGTCCCTTTAAATGTAGATGGGTTTATTTCTAATATATTAGAATTACAAGTTTTAACTGTTATAGTTTACATTGTTTGTGTCAGTTAACCTTTTTTAGACATTCTAAGCCTCTTGTGCAGAGTTCACGTGGTTATTTTATTATTCAAAGAAACCTAGCAGGTTTGCAATTCAGTAGCATCTTAGCCCCTGGGTTGGTATCAGGTTCACTTTTAATGTTTTTGTTTTCTTCTGATCGCAGCCTCTTTATGATCCCAATTACGGAGTCAATATCCACTGTGTGAAATTGAAGCGACAGGTAGAGATGTACCAATGGGTAGAATATGAAGAGTCCAAGTAAGTGTCTTTAAACCTAGAATGTGATGGCAGATAAGAACCATTCGGCCCATCTAGTCTGCCCAATTTTCTAAATACTTTCATTAGTCCCTGGCCTTATCTTTAGTTAGGATAGCCTTATGCCTATCCTTATGCCTATCCCACGCATGCTTAAACTCCTTTACTGTGTTAACCTCTACCACTTCAGCTGGAAGGCTATTCCATGCATCCACTACCCTCTCAGTTACCTCTTTGTTACCATAATATGGTCTGTGTTCTTCAAAACCAATGTTGGAGGGGTCACTGGGGTTATTTCTAATGGAATTAATCTCGGGGAGAAAGATGTAGATTTACTAAACCTCACTGATATTGTGTCTGATTGTAAAATCAGAGTTGGCTCTAGTAGTAGTAGCCGCCTTAAAGCAGCACTGTCATGGCCGAATCCCATTTTATTTTTAACTCCCCTCCCGACTCCACTACATCTAACTGACCCCCTAGTCACCCCCAAATGTCCCTAAGCCCCCCATATTACCTAATTTTGTATTCTTTATTTTCTGCCCAGATCTATATTCAGGGCGCCACCATCTTTGTGTGGGTAGAGGAAGTCCCTGTGGGACACGTCATCTGCCCACACTAGATAGCACTGTGAGATTCCCGCACATGCCCAGTTAAACACTTGGACATGCGAATGGGAATTTCATCTATTCATTAATTCGTCAGAAAGACGAATGAATGAATAGAAAAATCAGATGAACAAACAAACACCGAATATCAGTGTTTGTTTGTTCATTCAGTTTGTTACAAGGAGGGAGCTACCGGCGCACAGCTCCCTCCTTGTAATATGTAAAGATAGAAGCGGCAGGGAGCAGTGCTCCCCACCACTTCAAAAGCCCCCCATGTCCTTCCTCACTCTTTGGGGGTCAATATGGGTTAAAATCTCCCCAATGCCCTTACTCGCTATACCGCGAATAGGGGCATGTCTACTAAACAGTGCCAGTGGCTGCTCACTGTAAAAAAAAAAACCTACTATCTGGCCCCCACCCCTGTGCGGCGGTTGGGGGCCCTAAATAACAATAAGGGTGGGGAACCTATTGTCCTCCCCCCCCCTGGCCCCCAGCCCTGGGTGGTGGGTGGGGGCCATAAAGATAATGAGGGGGGGGGGACCTACTGTCCTCCCCCCGGCCCCCTCCCCTGGGCGGCGGGTGGGGGCCCTAAGACAAATCTCCCCCCCCATCAAAGGTGACTAGGGGTCCCCAAGCCCCTAGTCACCCACCCCAAAAAAAAGTTACCCCTACCTACCCCCCTCACCCTAAAAAATAGTGAGGGGGGAATAAAATAACTAACCTGAAAAGAAAATTTAAACTTACCATTTGACGTCTTTTTTCTAAAATCTTCATTTTACAACCCCAAAAAAGGCCAATCATACCGTCAAACTTAAAATAAAATAAAAAACCTGAGCGCAAAAAAACCCACCAAAAAAACAGACGAAAAAGAAAAAACCAGAGCGCAAAAAAAATAATCCATCTTCACCCATGGAGGGTTCCGTGCAGACTGAGCTCTTGTAAAGCCTTGCCCCGCCCTGCAATTAGGCTAAGAACACTCTGTCATTTTACACAGCGTGGGAAAGTTCTTTGGAATTTTCCCGCGCTGTGTAATTTGACTCAGAACACTCTGATTGGTGGGCTTGGAATCTAACCAATCAGAGTGCTCTTTGTCATTTTACACAGCGTGGGAAAATTCCAAAGAACTTTCACACGCTGTGTAAAATGACACAAAGCACTCTGATTGGATGGATTTCAAGCAACCCAATCAGAGTGCTCTGTGTCATTTTACACAGCGTGGGAAAATTCCAAAGAACTTTCCCACGCTGTGTAAAATTACACAAAGCACTCTGATTGGCTTAAACCAACCAATCAGTGTGTTCTTAGCCTAATTGCAGGGCGGGCCAAGGCTTTATAAGCCTTCCCCCTCTCTGCAGAGCTCAGTCTGCGGGAGCCCTCCATGGGTGAAGATGAATTATTTTTTTTGCGCTCGAGTTTTTTTTCTTTTTCGTCCATTTTTTTTTTTTTTTTTTGCGCTCTGGTTTTTTAATTTTATTTTAAGTTCGACGGGTATGATGGTTTTTTATTTGGCATTTTTTGTGGCTGAAAAATTAAGATTTTAGAAAAAAGACGTCAAATGGTAAGTTAAATTTTTCTTTTCAGGTTAGTTATTTCATTCCCTCTCACTATTTTTTAGGGTGAGGGGGGTAGGTAGGGGGTAACTTTTTTTAGGGGTGGGGGGGTGGGTGACTAGAGGCTTGGGGACCCCTAGTCACCTTTGATGGGGGGGGGGGATTTTTCTTAGGGCCCCCACCCGCCACCCAGGGTGGGGGTGGAGGGGAGGTCCGTAGGTCCCCCCCCATTGTAATTTATGGCACCCACCCACCGCTCAGGGGTGGGGCCAATAGGTTTTTTTTTGTTTGTTTTTTTTACAGTGAGCAGCCACTGGCTGCTCACTGTTTACTAGACATAGCCCTGCTCGCGGTATAGCAAGTAGGGGCAGATCATTTACTAATACTAAGTAATCTTTACTTAGTATTAGTAAAGTTGGCTGAAAAACCCCTCACGTATGCTGTTTTGGAGCTGGTATTGTCAACATTTCCCTTGTTTAACCTGTGTAAACCATTTTTTTTTCTCCAGAGAATATGAAGAAAATGGAGAAACCAAAAGGGAGACCAGATACACGTACAGTAAGTGTTGGATTTACTTAAAGGGACAATGTAGTCACCAAAATAACTTTAGCTTAATAAAGCAGTTTTGGCGTATCGATCCTGCCCCTGCAGTTTCACTGCTCAATTCTCTGCCATTTAGGAGTTAAATCACTTTGTTTATGCAGCCCTAGTCACACCTCCCTGCATATTACTTTCACAGCCTGCCTAAACACTTTATGTAAAGAGTAATCTAATGTTTACACTTCCTTTATTGCAAATTGTTTAATTTAGAATGTCTTCTCTCCTGCATTGTTAACAGCTTGCTAGACCCTACAGGAGCCCCCTATATGAAATTAAAGCTCAATTTACCGAGCAGGAGATAAAAACTTTTAAAGTAAGTTACATCTGATGGAAAATGAAACCATTTTGTTTTCAGACAGACTGTGTCAGTCACAGCCAGGGGAGGTGTGGCTAGTGCTGCATAAACAGAAACCAATGTGATGTAACTCCTAAATGGCACAGAACTGATCAGTGAGACTGCAGGGGCATGGTTTATACACAAAAACTGCTTCATTAAGCTAAAGTTGGTTTGGTGATGATAGTGTCCCTTTAATCAGGGCTGTACAACCTGATACCTGAACTACAAATCCTCAAATTCATTGTCAGCCATGCAGCATTTCAAGGAAGCATTTATTGTGGGGTTGTTGGGAACACTGCAAAAACCATCTCCCCAAAACAGGCATCACCTTAAACTAATGTCAAATCATCCCACTCGGAGAACACCCTAACATATTTTAACCCCTTAAGGACCAAACTTCTGGAATAAAAGGGAATCATGACATGTCACACATGTCATGTGTCCTTAAGGGGTTAAAGAAGAAGTGTCAGAGCCTAGGGTGTTAATATATATAAATTTTTTTACTTATTCCCTATATTTCACAAATATGTGTATGCGAGATCTCAAAAATACAATTTAATGCAGAAATCTGTATATTACTCTGTATCCTGGAGTACCTCTATCTTGGCTCCCTGTCAATCATAGATACAAGCTCAGCCCTTTTTGCATAATAAAAAATAAGTGGAATAATGTTTTTCATTCCCAGTGCAGTGTGTATCTGTGGACCTGACTGTGATGTTACTTGAATAACCATTTAAAGCGGCACTGTCATGGCCGAATCCTGTTGTTTTTTGTTTTTAACCCCCCTCCCGACTCCACTACATCTAAATGACCCCATAGTCACCCACAAATGTCCCTAAGCCCCCCATATTACCTATATTTAATCTTTATTTTCTGCCCCGATCTATATTCAGGGCGCCGCCATCTTTGTGTGGGTAGAGGAAGTCCCTGTGGGACACATCATCTGCCCACACTAGATAGCACTGAGATTCCCGCACATGCCCAGTTAAACACTTGGACATGCGAACGGGAATTTCATCTATTCATTCATTCGTCAGAAAGACGAATGAATGAATAGCATTGTCAGACGAACAGACAAACACTGAATATCAGTGTTCGTTTGTTCGTGCAGTTTATTACAAGGAGGGAGCTACCGGCGCGCAGCTCCCTCCTTGTAATATGTAAAGATAGAAGCGGCCGGGAGCAGTGCTCCCCACCACTTCCTAAGCCCCCCATGTCCTCCCTCCCTCTATGGGGGTCAATATGACCCCCATAATAGCATAAGGGAGATTAAAATCTATACCGCGAGTAGGGTCATGTCTACTAAACAATGAGTAGCCTGTCTTCTTTTTTTCCAAAATCTTCCTTTTTTAGCCCCCAAAAAAGGCCAAAAAAAAACCCAGCATACCCATCGAACTTAAAATAAAATAATAAACCGGACGAAAAAGAAAAAACCAGAGCGCAAAAAAAATAATCCATCTTCACCCATGGAGGGCTCCGCGCAGACTGAGCTCTGCAGGGCGTGGAAGGCTTATAAAGCCTTGCCCCGCCCTGCAATTAGGCTAAAAACACTCTGATGTCACTCTTTGTGTCATTTTACACAGCGTGGGAAAGTTCTTTGGAATTTTCCCACGCGGTGTAAATTGACAAAGAGCACTCTGATTGGCTTAAACCAGCCAGTCAGAGTGTTCTTAGCCTAATTGAAGAGCGGGGGAAGGCTTTATAAGGCTTTGTCTTAGGGCCCCCACCTGCCGCCCAGGGGTAGGGGCCGGGGGGGAGGACAGTAGGTCCCCTCCCCTCCCCTCATTGTAATTTATGGCCCTCACCCATCGCGCAGGGGTGAGTGCTGGTGGGGGGGGAGGACAGTAGGTCCCCTCCCCCATTGTAATTTATGGCCCCCCGCACATTATCTTTATGGCCCCCACCCACCACTCAAGGGTGGAGGACGGGGGGGAGGACCGTAGGTCCCCCCCATTGTAATTTATGGCCCCCACCCACCTCGCAGGGGTGGGGGCCGGTGGGGGGAGGACAGTAGGCCCACCCCCCTCATTATCTTTATGGCCCCCACCCACCGCCCAGGGGTGGTGGACGGGGGAGGACTGTAGGTCTTCCCCTCATTATCTTTATGGCCCCCACCCACCGCGCAGGGGTGGGGGCCAGTGGGGGGAGGACAGTAGGTCCCCCCCCCCATTGTAATTTATGGCTCCCACCCACCGCTCAAGGGTGGGGGCCGGGGGGGGAGGACAGTAGGTGTCCCCCCCCCATTGTAATTTATGGCCCCCACCCACCACGCAGGGGTGGGGGCCGGGGGGAGGACAGTAGGTCTCCCCTCCCCCTGATTGTCCATTATGGCCCCCACTGCTCAGGGGTGGAGCCAGTAGGTTTTTTTTGTTTTTGTTTTTTACCGTGAGCAGCCACTGGCTGCTCACTGTTTACTAGACATGCCCCTACTCGCGGTATAGCAAGTAGGGGAAGATCATTTACTAATACTAAGTAATCTTTACTTAGAATTAGTAAATGTGGCTGAAAGACCAATTTAGGTCTTTCAGCCTTTTGGAAGATAACTCCCTAATACCGTGGGAATTAGGGCGTTATCTACTAAGTGGCTGCAAGATGCAGCCGCGGCACAAATTGAATCGGAGTTTCATTCATTCGAATGAAATTCCGATACGAACAAAGTGCCGAACTGAGTTCTAAAACAAACGAACATACTGTTCTCATTCAGTTAGAACGCAATTCGTCACTTTCGTCTAAAATGACAGGAAGCATCGCGAGATCAGAGGAAAGGTAAGAATTATGGGAAAATTGCTCTGACCAGCGGAAATGAAGCACACTTTGCTCCTCCGCTGGTCAAGTGGAGGAAACCTCCATAAGGCAAAGAGTCCCTACTTTATCTTATGATTTTAAAGAAAACTAAAGAAGACAGGAAGAAAAGAAGAACAGATCCTGAGAGAGGGGGAGAAGAGATTGAGGAAAGGTAAGTTCAGCATGACAGTTCCGCTTTAAAAGAAAAATGGAACATCACTTGTGTAAAAGGTCAACACTTGTTATCAGTGCTTTTCAGTATTTTATTGAATAGTGCAATTTCTAGAGGAGTGATATTTTCCCTTTAATTACATAAGTAAGGGTTCATACATTTTATACTGTCCTACATATTAAGAGGTATACCTGTTCTAATATCAAGCGCGGATATTACCACTGTTATACCATACAGAGGCGCACAGTTCTCATTTATTAATTTTGTTTTGGGACTGTGAAATGCAACGCAATACTAGTGTTCACCAGTTATCAAATGCATTTGGATTGAGTACTTTCATTTTCATTTATTTAAATTCTCCAAGACACTGAATGGAAATCTGAAGTTGTGAGCAGCCGGCACTTTGATCGAGAGATTACCCATCTCAATCCCAGGTGAGCTTTTCTGTGATAACTGGTATGTTGGAGAGTGCCGTGTGTGGTGTGATAGGTGCTGTTTTAATATAAGGATTGGTAATGTTTGCAAAACTTGATCATGCATAATAATGTTTAAAAGCAGATTGGTTACTTGTTTTGTTTCATTTTGCCTTTCAGTGCAATGGCTGTGGAGTCCTTCACTGCTGTTGCTTCAGAGGTGAATGTCGGGGCCTTTTTTTTGGGTACAGGTAAGATGCTTTCTCCTCTCCTTCAGTTTGTCTTTTTGAGAAATCTGTCCTCACTAATAACTGTGTTTCTGTTGGGAAATTCTCATATCCTTCATAGTTGAAGCTCCTTATCTAAACCATTTTTGGTGGTCTAGCAGGAGGATGAGTATACCTTGGCTCACTTCTATCATACCGCTAGTAACCATTGAGAGGTACAGACTTTGATATCCTATCACAGCAATCTGAGGATTTGGTAGTGTTGCGCTTGGGAGCAGGGTAGTGGGATATTTTGCCACTGTGAACACAGAGGAATGAGACCACAGATCTCTCACCAAAGGAAGGTATGCAACAACACAGGGTTTGTCTGTGGATCAGGGATGGACCATTCAGAAGACAGCTAAGCTGTGGCTGCTAATAATGAAATAATTTAGGAATTCTCATCCTCTTTCTGATAGGCCTCATTGATCAGATTAACAACTTCAAGCAAATGAGCCTGGCACAGATGGGTAACCCTCATGCAGACGTCACTGCTCAAGGGGACTATTTCTACCAAAGTGCCAACCCCAAAAATCCAGAGGTATTAATACGTCCTCCCAGTAAGTCTGTTGCAGCGATTTTAATGAGTCTGATATAGACCTCAATTTAATAAGCTTTCCAAATGATTCAATATTGTTCGTATCTACAAAAATTCCCTTAGACTTTATTGTTGACTTCTGTATATAAATAATTTTAAAAGTTTTTCTAGCAGTAGTGAATCACTTTAAAAGCTTATAAATCGAGGCCATAGTTAGAAATCTGAAAATAGTGTATGTGTGTGTGTGTATGTGTGTGTATATATATATATATATTGAACAAAATTATAAACGCAATACTTTTGTTTTTGCCCCCATTTATCATAAGCTGAACTCAAAGATCTAAGACTTTTTCTGTGTACACAAAAGGCCTATTTCTCTCAAATATTGTTCACAAATCTGTCTAAATCTGTGTTAGTGAGCACTTCTGCTTTGCCAGATAATCCATCCACCTCACAGGTGTGGCATATGAAGATGCTGATTAGACAGCATGATTATTGCACAGGTAAGCCTTAGGCTGGCCACAGATGTTGCAAGTTTGAGGGAGCGTGCAGTTGGGATGCTGACTGCAGGAATGTCCACCAGAGCTGTTGCCCATGACTTGAATGTTCATTTCTCTACCATAAGCCATCTCCAAAGGCTTTTCAGAGAATTTGGCAGTACATCCATCCGGGTTCTCTCAACCGCAGACCACGTGTAACCACACCATCCAGGGACCTCCACATCCAGCATCTTCACCTCAAAGATCGTCTGAGACCAGCCACCTGGACAGCTACTGCAACAATCGGTTTGCATAACCACAAACTGTCAGACGCTGTCTCAGTGAAGCTCATCTGCATGTTCGTCGTCCTCATCGGGGTCTCGACCTGACTGTAGTTCGAAGTCGTAACCGACTTGAGTGGACAAATGCTCACATTCGATGGCGTCTGGCAATTTGGAGAGGTGTTCTCTTCACAAATTGATCCTGGTCTGCCATCTGTACAGGGCAGATGGCAGACAGCATGTATGGCGCCATGTGGGTGAGCGGTTTGCTGATGTCAACGTTGTGGATTGAGTGGCCCATGGTGGCGGTGGGTTTATGGTATGGGCAGGCATGGTATGGTATGGACAACGAACACAGGTGCATTTTATTGATGGGATTTTGAATGCACAGAGATACCGTGATGAGATCCTGAGGCCCATTGTTGTGCCATTCATCCATGACCATCACCTCATGTTGTAGCATGATAATGCACGGCCCCATGTTGCAAGGATCTGTACACAATTCCTGGAAGCTGAAAACATCCCAGTTCTTGCATGGACAGCATACTCACCGGACATGTCACCCATTGAGCATGTTTGGGATGCTCTGAATCGAATTATATGACAGTGTGTTCCAGGCCCTGCTAATTTCCAGCAACTTTGCATAGCCATTGAAGAGGAGTGGACCAACATTCCACAGGCCACAATCAACAACCCGATTAATTTAGTTGTAAAATTTTTATTACCTGTTGTTTTTTATTTTTTTATTTTTTTTATTAGTTTTCTTGCAACCTGATCAATTCTATGTGAAGGTGATACACTGCGTGAGCCAAATTGTGGTCACACCAGATACTGACTGGTTTCCGAACCTCACCAATACAGTAAAACTGTACATTTTAGAGTGGCATTTTATTGTGGTCAGCCTAAGGCACACCTGTGCAATAATCATGCTGTCTAATCAGCATCTTGATATGCCACACCTGTGAGGTGGATGGATTATCTTGGCAAAGGAGAAGTGCTCACTAACACAGATTTAGACAGATTTTTGAACAATATTTGAGAGAAATAGGCCTTTTGTGTACATAGAAAAAGTCTTAGATATTTGAGTTCAGCTCATGAAAAATGGGGGCAAAAACAAAAGTGTTGCGTTTATAATTTTGTTCAGTGTATATAAACATGAAACTTCTTAGTTTTTGAGGAATCATCCTGGGAAATATGCAAGAAATTCTATATTTTAAATATGCTGTAAGGTTATATAACGTACCAACTGTGGAAACCTCAGGGCCAAAATCTTCTCTTTAGCTGTTCTCCTGTCCTTTCGCTTCTCTCAGATTCTCTAAACAGGAAGCGTTGGACAAGGGTGCCACTGATTAGCACAATATATGTAGCTCCCCATTCACAAAATGCTTGTAGTTTTCTCAACCTGTCTGGAGTGATCCTTTACTATCTAAAGATGTTTAGATCTAGTGATTAGGAAAGCAATGGAAACTGTTTGACTTCATCATAGAGTTCCCAAAACATCCCTGCATTGTACCGCAGTGTGTATAGGGACTGTGGGCATTTCATCAGGCAGCATAGGAAGCACCTGGTGTGCCGATTATATATAAATTGGGAATACTGTGCTACAATTAGAAAAATTATACTGAAAAAACGTGTTTTTGTTTTTTTAACATGTCAGGCATATTTAATTACTTATTAGTAAATGTCAACATTTTATCAACTGCTGTCCCTGGAACACATAGGGGCTTAGTCACAAAACAGTGATTTATGCAAATTCAACCCAAAAGGGTTCTAAAAAATAACCTGCATTAAAATATCTACAAATATCATATGATGAAAGTTCTGGAAATCTGAGTAGGGTATGAAAGTATGCAATCACTTTTCCTTTAAATCATACAGAGTTACTCCTCTGTGCCTTTGTCATTGTACATTATAGTTACATCTTCTTGATGCAGGTAGGAGACCTCCGCATCTCGTTTTGGTATGCTGGCGTTTCTTTGGGTGACACCCAGTCTGGACCTGTGGACTCGGTAACTATACATAATTTACTTTCCCAATACAGAATTCTGGAACAGTTTGAAATAAAACATCTGAACTGTGTTTGCAGAGTGGCTCAGATTTTTGTAACATGGCTGGACATGTTGTACAAGACAAGGAAGTGCTTCTAGCTAAATTTTTAAATTTTTTTTAGTTATGTCCGATATAGCTGAGATTTCTGAGCCTATCTGGCTCTTTCTATTGAGTTATGTAGAGGAGCTTGAAACATCACATAAGTCTTTGCAGGATATACATAGGAAACATAGTAAGCACTGAGAACATAAGCTGGAACTCTCTGGCTGCTTCTTAACTAAACATCTGAATGAGAAGCACTCTTGTGAGTGAATGGAACCACACTGGGCTTTCTGCTCATTTCTGTGAATGTTTTCCATCTGTAGACTTAATATACATGTAATGAATGGTGTAGATATTTCTGTTATTCATTATAGATTTGTGAATTTCTTTGTATATGCCATAGTTCTGGTCCTTTTCCTTAAAAGAGCTTGCACGCTTTTAAATATATGCTGGATATCATTCTGAGCTCTCAGATGTTTTTGGCGGTGACTATCTTCTTGTTTCTTTTTCAGGTGAGTGTCATTGCTCGGCAGAAAGGAGGAGTATTGAGCCCATATAAAACCAAATCTGGAGGCGTTCTAGAGCTGCTATATCTGGGGACACTCAACGCAGAGGTAATTGGCCAAACAGAAATGCATACCAGTCTCTCTCTGTTTTTTATTTCCATTTTACTTTCCGACCTGAATCCCTTCCTATCTGTGTTCCTGGAGTGTGTCTCTCTGAACTCCCAATACTCCATCATTATGCTCAATGTTTTATTGAACATAGTGCTATCATTTGCCATGTCTCAACTGTATGTGTAAACATCTACATTGCTCTCTACAAAATGTTTTATTCGCAATTGTTTGAAAATTTGTTAAATCACAAATATTTAGCATTTACAACAAGTGAATGAAATACAAACTACAAAACAAATGAATGCCAACAAACGAAAGCACTTTTAAGGAAGACTATAGTCGGCGTAATGTAACAAAATACAGCAATGTCTCTCACTCCACACAAAACATGACTCAAAAAGTGGTTATAGCTGAAATATGTGTAGCAGCTGTCAGGGGAGATGGAGATTTGTATAGTTTTCATATGCAGAAGTAAATGGACAGAGAGGAAGTACAGCATCTCTTGTAATGCCTCTCACTGAGGGCCTTACAGTGGTATGATGAGTTATAAGCAAATCCATTTAAGGACAGAGTGGCAGGTGACCTTCTTGTGCCATAACCTTCGCAAGGATCAGTTTTTTTATGCTTTGAGTGTCCCTTTAAATAAGTAAACCTCTATTATAAACAGAGGACTAATATAACATAAGGCCTGTACCTGATGACATAAGATTCCTAGCTGATTAATCAGAAGTAGGACATTACCTGACACTGATTGGAATGTTTCTATTTTGCATGAACAAGAAACCACGTGATGAACAGGGTCTGAGCTGACGACTAGGACCTTGGTAGATAGACAAGAAAAAGAGACTCTGATGACTTAGAACAGGTTCAACAAAATCTGGCCCTCCAGAAGTTGCTGAACTATAACTCTCACGATTCTCTGGCCATCTATTTTATTCAAATTACCAGGGGATTTGTAGTTTGGCAACATCTAGAGGGTCAGAAATTGGAGATTTGTGGAAGATAGAAGCAGGCATGAGGTGATCAGGAAATGAAAACTGTCACTTTCAGATTAAGGTAGGGTAATATGATGATATAGCCCTACATTGATTATTAATTTCCTGCATTTTGTTTCACTTTTTCCTCTTATGTATAATTGCACACATTAATACATATAAATTAAATATTGTATATAGCTTTATAGCTTCCCAGTGGGTTTTTGTTTTTAAATCAGTCATTGAAAAAAAAATCTATTATAGTTAACAAAAAAATAAGTAAACAATGCTGTGTTTGATAAAGGGATAGGATCTGTTTATTTTCTCTTTCAGGAAATTTTTAATGCTGAACACCAGAGCAATAATTTAAAAACCTGGGCACTGCGGGGTGCTGGCTGGCTACTTATGTTTATTGGAATAAGTTTAATCACCAAGATCGTCTATACATTGGGTAAGCTTGTTACTTATGACCTATATGTCCGTGTATTAATGACTTTCTATAAATTTACTTATTATGTGGTATCAAACTCCTCACAGTAAGCAGAATTCTGACTTTGCATAAAAGTTCACTGAATATATGGTTAAAGGGACACTATAGTCACCAAAACAAAGTTCGCTTTATGGATCAGTTTTGGTGTATAGATTATGCCCCTGCAGTGTTATCGCCCAGTTCTCTGCCATTTAGGAGTTAAATCACGAGTTTATGAAGCCCTAGCCACACATCCCATGTTCTGACTCTCATAGCCTTCATGAAGTTTTCATTTTTACAGAACAGTGTGTTTACTTTAGAAGTTTTTATCTCCTGTTAATTAAACTTTAATCACACACAGGTGGTTCCTGCAAACTTTAAAAGGCAATTAACTGAGCACATTGTGTAGTAAGGGAAGTTTAATAAAAATCCCAGTGACGTCCATCTCCAGCCTTTATGTAACTTTGGCTGTTTGGTGCCTTTTCGGGATTCTGGGTTAATCATTCTAAGTTTGAATCTGACTCTTACATTGTTTCGGGTTGCACATTTAATGCTTATTTCCCATTCAGGTGGCAAATGAGTGGTCATCTGATGTCCTTGGGGGTTTCGTATAACCTCCAGCTGGTCTGGTATGGTTGGGGCAAATTATGATCCCTTAATTATTATCCCCCCAGTGCACTTGTCACTTACATGAAATGGGTTTCTCAATACCTGCAATAATGACAATTACAGGGTCAAACTGAGAGGGACAGTGCACCCAGACCACTTCAAAGAGCTGAAGTTTTCTGGGTGCCTATAGTGTCCCTTTTGATAAGCACATAATCTGTACATTCCTTTGTTTGCATGAATTTGGAGTGGATTTCCTATGTGATTTAGCGATAATAGTAAAGTGGACTTAACATGCATTTTGTTTATTTATTCTCGGGAAGCATATTTTTCGTGCAAAAAGTGTTTGTCCATGACTTTTAAATAAAAATTGCATGAATGGTGTTGATTACAGTTAATTGGCACTCTTGATATGCATTGTGAAATGTGGTTGCCAAAGTATACTTGCTGAGCACACTAGGCTAATGGCACAACATGCATATATTGCAGTCAATAGCAAGGCTGCATACTGTAGGACAGTTAGAATGTGTCTATGATTCGTAAGCACAATCCTCAACTTCTTCTTAGAGCTCTGAACTTTGGAAGTTTGCATTGGCCTTTACTTAATGAGAAACGTCACTGCCTAAATAAAAAAATGACTGTTTAGTACATATACCCTCAACATGCACGCACTTAAAGGATCACTATAGGGTCAGGAACACAAACACAATACATGTTTGTATTCCTGACCCTGTAGTGTTTAATTCACCATTTTTGTGGCTTGCACCCCCTTTAGCCACCTTCAAACGGTGAAAACACCTTATTTCCAACACCGTGCTGGTCTGCTGATACTGGCCCCGCCCCCAATCCGACATCAGAATTTTTAAACAATCCAATGCTTTCTCATAGCCAATCAGCACCTCCTCAGCGATGCATTGAAAATTCAGTGTCTCCATGCAGAGCGTGGAGACACTAAACGGCAGTGCTGCCTACTGCGCAGCACTGCCTCTGGAAGCACCTCCAGTGGAAATCTGAGGCGTGGCCATTTGGAGGTGTCCCTAGGGGGAAATGTAAACCCTACCCTTTCTCTTAAAAGGCAGTGCTTGCATGAAAATGCCTCAAGGCAATCATACGCACCAGAACAACTACATTAAGCTGTAGTTGTTATGGGGACTATAGTGTCCCTTTAATTATCTTTTTTCTGTTCTCTTATCTGCTGCTTTTGCAAGCCCTCCCCTTCTAACCCCGCCCAGACTTTGTGACTGTTCAATCACAGACTTTCAATTCAGCTCAATGAGAAGTCTTTGAGGTGCTGTGGGCATTTGCTGCCTCTTGAGTTTTGCTCCTCTAAGCCAAATAAACCAGGAAGTAACAGGACTGAACTTTATTGTAAAATGAAAAAAAAGACACACTTTTCACATATAAGGCACTTCAACAAACTGTCCCTTTAACTTCTAAGTGCTTTTTAATTTCGGTGAAAATTCTAAAGAGAGCAACCTGTGTTGTTTGTGTGAAAAGTGCATACAGGAAATGGCAGTCAACATTTTCACAGATCTCTGTGCTCAAAAAAGGTTTTTAGTATGGTTTGACAACTTTGGTCCTCCAGGTAGCACTTCAGGTCTTCTTCTGCAGGGAAATAAAGCACGGAAGATGGCCAATGACCACATTCCTGTAGAGCTAACCACATTTTACTAAAGAAATTATATGGCTTTATGGTGTTATGCATTCTCATTTGTCCGCACTCTGCTCTAATTTGCTTTATTTTGTTGCTCACCAGTTAGTAACAATAGGTAAATTATGATATAATTCACAGATATATCTTGTTTAAGTTTTCTTTTTTTTGCATTGCTCTGATATGCCTCTTTCCTCTCTATATATAGTGGACTGGTTTCCTGTCCTGCGTGACTTGGTCAGCCTTGGACTGAAGATCTTTGCCTTGTGTGTGTCCACCTCACTTTCTCTCCTGACAATCGCCCTGGGTTGGTTCTTTTATCGCCCATTGGTATCCCTGCTCCTGGGAGCTATCAGTGTTGGTATTATTGTACTGGCCAAATCACGCGTTCCTGCAAAGAAGTACCAGTAGGGTTATTTTCTGGTAACATTTACCACTGGGAAGGAAAAATCAGATCTGGGATTGTTAACATGAATTATATTCTGTGCCATATGTAATAGACATCTGTTCTTCCAATGTTGGTGAGTGACTAAAGCGGTGAGGGCTGTGAGATAATGCTTGCGTGGCTTCTATTACCATTATTTAAACTTTTCAGGTACTTAAATAATACACTTTGGAATAATAATAAAACAAAAAAGAATCTGTTATTCTATGGAACACAGAGTTCATTGTTGGACTGATAAGTCAACTCCATGGTATAACAACTTGACAATGCACCAGTTTGTGTTAGGGACTTATTTACTAAACCAGAATTTTAGGTAAAAACAAATATTAGCAATTTTATTGCTCATTCTCCACAGTTGCTAGTTCAATGAATAAAGTCTGTAATGTTTGTGAGGACATTTCTAACTGCCAAATTTTACTACACTACAATTCCCTTGAACAATTGAGGCCACTCCAGGATTTTTGGTTGGCAAAGTTCATGGGAGTTCTAGTTCACTTTCCACTATTTTGATGTCCTGTGTATTATCTCAGAAGCTGAACGTGCACAGGCTTGGAACAAAAATACACTGTACGCACGGACAGGGCAGTTTAATAATTCCCTAGTTTAAAAAATATAATAAAAAAAAATGCACTTTCAAGGTGGTAATCGGAAACCACAAAGAAAATCAATTGTATTTGGTCTTAGAACAACGAAATGAATTGCTAACTTTTTTTTTGTATGCACATTTATGGGAACATATATAGGTAATGTGGAGTGCAGGTTTTAGTCATTTGAGAATGCTTGCATCAACTTTTCCAGTATTGTATGATTAACGTAAATGTAGACAATCAAGTTTGCAAATCTGGGTTTAACCTGTTGTTTCTCAAGAGAGGTAAATGTCGTGCCCATTTGTAATAAGTTTATAGTAAATTGTAATTGGTTCGGTATATAAGGTAAATTTAAAAATTTAGATAACATTAGCTGAACTAAATTGTCAGGTATAAGATTTTTCACAATTTAGCTATTTTGGCCAAAACATTTTAAATTCACTTTCTGACATTATACAGGATTATTCACTAAAGTAAGACTTACCAGGAATTCGAATTTCAAATTCAAGGACAAAATAGTAAATTCTGAAAACAGAATTGACATTTTATCTAATGCAGCTAGATTGTCCTACATTTTAATAATCACTTTACATTTCTGGCAATTCTCTTTTTGTGCATTAGAGTTAGTCACTCATAATGAATTGAAAGGAATGTACCCCCCCCGAGTCCCCCACCGATACACCAGAATATATTTGCCTGGTACAGATCACGGTCAGTCCTGAGTCCAGTCTGCATATAGCATTGAACACAAAGATGGTTGTGTGTTAGTTTGTGATAAAACTAGCCAAGCATTAGATTACAATATCTAGAATAGTACATAATAACTTGGGAATCATGGAAGAAATCCAATCTATTTTTTTTTTCAGTTTTGTGCTAACCCAACCCAACCTATAGCCTTCAGATTTGTAAGAATACTTAAAATCCCAAATGATGTGTCATTAATTTTTTTTTCCCCCAAACATCAACTGTAATATTGCTTCCTGTTGAGATAATGCCAAAGATATATATATTTTTACCACTACTTTGTATCATTTTGATTGAAATAAAATGGACATTTAATGCCAGAAATTCTACAACTTGTGTTTTATTGTGAAAATACAGTACAAAATTATTACTAATTATTAGAAGTCCTCCTGTTAATGTTTATCAACTGAAAAACAATTTGAAAAAAATGCCATCTAGTGGACTAAGCAGCAGCTTCGGATATCATAAGACACCTGCAGATCATGTCATTTTACATTATGTATTCACAGATTAAATATTTATACGACAGCTGGTTCCAGCTTGGGAGGAGCAGGGGAATGCTAGATGTCCTGTGCACACAATTAGGTCCCATCTGCCTTTTAAGCAAAGCATTCTGTGAAATAGGTGCAGGATCTACAGCTAGGCTGGAACCTAGACAGATCTTATAACATCTGAAAATGTATGCATGTACTGGCCCATTCAGATGGCATGGTGTAAAAAGAAACATGATCTACAGATCAAGAGTACTGCCATGCGTAATGTAAGAATCCTCCTCTTCTAGTGTGGTGGGCTGATAATACTCTGATTACCAAACATGAACTGTTGATTTCATTGCAATGAACCCACCGTTAGGGCAGCAGTTTCTCCATGCCTGCGATCCTGAGAAATGTCACATCTTTTCAAATGGGAACAAATGCTTTGTTTCTCCTTTCTTTTCTCGTTTGCTTTTTTGTTTCACTTTTCCTCCTCCTCCAGTGTCTTCTGTCTGGCGGTTTTGGGGCCAGGACACAGCAATGTCCTGAGCCACAGTCTCTGCTTGATTTTCCTCATCAGAAGAGAATCCTTTGTCCACCGCATTCGAGCTAGACTGCTCTATATCCTGTTTAATAGAAAGTGCAATAACTGTTATAATGTATCCACAAAACAGTCAGCATATGTGTGGCTGACAAGGTTTCCTTCAGGCAAGTAAGTGTTATTCAGTCATTGTGTTGGTAGAACGTCTAGCAAACACATACATATTTGTAGTTCTTGCTTCTATGCAGAGGGCAGAGAGGTATAAGCCTAAAATAAGGCATTTAAAGGGACCGTGAGATCCAACATGCACAGCACTGGTTTCCAAATTCCCCAGTGCATTTGACAGCCATTTGCTACCTTTTAAAGTAGTAACATGAAGGAGTTTGGCGAATGGATAACTAGTATTGTACAACCCACCTTTTAGATGCATTACAGCAAAATCTGCCACTGAATTAAAAAAACCACACCAAGAAACTGCCTTTACTAAACAGTGCTAGGATAAATACAATCTTTGCATTTTTTCTGGCTAATAGTTCATTATACCTTAATTAAGAAGTGTTAAGTGAAAGCTATATACCTTTTTTTTGCAAGGGACGCTTGCCTTTTCTACTTGATCATTTTATTTTCTGATAAAAGGAATAGACTTGTTTTATTTAAAGGTTTTTCTCCCATCTGTATTCGTGGATTCGTAGATTGGATTTTTTTGCAACAAATATTTAATTCTGACAGAAGTAATTTCCTGTATGGCATTTAGTATGCCAGAAAATCTGTATGCTATATTTTTAGGAGTGTTTGATATTTTTTAAAGCACCAATATGTGCATACATGTATATAAGGATATATTACTTCTGAGCTTAGGCAAATCATTATTTTATTTTTTTCTTCTTCCTGCTATGGAAATGTAAGAAAACAATACAATTATAGTGTTTTATACAAGCCAAATCTAGCTTCCATTTAAGAGACAGCAGGGCCATAGTATAGTTTTTAAGATGAAATATGATTCTTACACCAGTTAGAAATTAGATAAAATTGTTTTGCTTACAACACACAGTCAAGTGATATTTGCACTTCAATCTATTAAATCGTCATGTGATAAATACGTAGGCAGAGAAGTGGGTAAAATGCCTGTCAGTCTATAGATTAACAAAAAGATGAAAGTGTCAATGTCTTTGTCTGGGGACATAATTTTCAAAGACCCTCGATGGAGATTTTATCTTTATGAAATACTCATTTTGCAGGTGGAAGTGACAGTACTGCTTTAAAATCAGCGATTTGTTCGTTCATATACTAACATGCATTTGATTTATTCAAGGGAGCTGAAAAAGATTTGTGTGCAAGTCTACCAGTTACTACTCAGCTTACCTTATTCCCATAGCGGGCTTTGAGACGCTCTCTAATCAGAAGTCCCTTTATGAGCAGTTTCCAGTTGCCCAGTGCTCGTTTTTCACGTTTCTACAACACAGACAAGAAGCCAGAATAGTCAGTTGTCAGTATAAACAAGACACTGGGGGAGTTCATGTAACTGCAGTTAAAACACCATTATCAAATACATTCACAATTATTGACTAAAAGGTAAATTGTAGGGAATTCACTGGGGGAATAGAACATTTACCGGAACACACCTGGTGTTAGGGGTGCTCTGATGTCTTCCTACAGTAAGTAATCAAACTATTTTAAATTGGTTAACTTCTTACCTGGAGTCTGCCGCATGTCACTCTACACCTCCAATGCAGCCCCCATGATGTTGCCAGCAATCTAGGGTTCAGCTCCTCAACTGCAGAGGCTTCCAAGCAGTAGTAGAGACAGGGAGCAGTTTTGTCTAATTACTATGTAGATGCATCAAGGCATCATGGTACCATAACCACTGACAAGGCACTGCAGTGATTGTGATGCTTTTCTTTTATGAACTTCATTGTGACGCCTGTGGACCTCTGTCTATATGGTGCTTTGAGTTTTCTTTCAAAGCGAATAGTGCCAAGATGGAAATAGAAGCGACTAATTCCAATTCAACTAATTTGGTCTAAGATATGCAAATATTTGGTGTATTCACAATGTTTTTGTGAATAACCCCCACAGTGAAGTACGGTCGTGGTGCTGCTGCCTAGCTTTTATGGAGGCTGCCTTCGTTGTACACTAACTCCAGTAACGAAAAATATATGAAACTAACTACTACTGGTGATATAATAAATTGTGCCATGGCTTCCATTGCTTTGCAAAGTAGCTTTAATTGTATGGTCCATGAAATAATCTTGTTAGGTGTCTAGAGATATGCAGCACTCAATAAGGATATGCATTAGCTCTTTTAGTGTGTTACTGCTGCCTGTAATACAACCTCCATGTGTGATGTATTAAAGGCAATATACAAGATTTCCAGCCACTGCATATGTACTATGCACCCTCCCCTCCCCCCAATATTGTTATTAATTTCATATGTACACAAAGCATGGCACAGGCTGTTGCTGTAATAGTTATGGTGCTTGGTTAAATGCTCTTGTCTCCAATACATGCTTTTGGCTAGGCGTCACTCACCTCTTTTTGTTTCCTTTCCATCTCTGCCTGATCACTGTCCCAGGCAGCCAACAGGACATCCGTGTGCTCTTCACAGACTATGTAACCATCAGTTCTGTAAAAGAAAGACAATACTTTACATACTGGGACAAGGCAGCATGGCCTTGCCAAAAAAATGCTACTTTCCAGTAGAATTAGTAATAACAAACAGTGAAAAGGTAGTAGACACTCGGAAAAGCCTTCCAATAGGGATCAACCGATATTGATTTTTTTAGAGCCGATACGAAATTCTGTTAACTTTAAGGCCAATAGCCAATATAATTTGCCGATATTCTGTACATTTACCATTATGGAAAATAAAAACTATTTCTAAAGGTAAATGCACAAAACATACATGCCACGTGTAGTGGATGCAGTGTGTTTAGACAGGGGAGCTGTGTGGGTTTGTGTAGTGTGTGTTTGTGTAGTGGATGCAGTGTGTATTTGTCTAGTGTGTATATAATGAAAGCAGAGTGTTTGGGTAGTGTGCGTAAAGTGAATGCAGTGTGTGTGTAAAGTGAATACTGTATATACTAAATGCACACACACACACACTGCATTATATAAACACACTACACAAACACTGCATTATATAAACACACTTCACACACTGCATTATATACACAGTGTGTTTGTGTAGTGTGTTTATATAATGCAGTGTGTGTGTGTTTGTGTAGTATGCATTATATAAACACACTGCATTATATACACACACACACACTACACAAACACACACTGCATTATATACACAGTGTGTTTGTGTAGTGTATGTGTATATAATGGAGTGTGTGTGTGAGGGGGCATTTTTTATTAAATTTTTTTTTTTTAATATATATTTAATTATTTTTGTTGTCCCCCCTCCCTGCTTGTTGCCTGGCCAAGGAGGGGGGATATAGCAATCCCTGGTGGTCAAGGGGCATTGGCTGAGCTGTGGGGGGGGCGGGCAGCAAGCGCTTTTTCACCTCCCAGCAGCTCCTCCAGCTCCCCAGTGTAAGTCTCGCGGCTCTGATGGGCGCTGGTCTCATGAGACTTACACTGGGGAGCTGAAGGAGCTGCTGGGAGGTGAATAAGCGCTTGCTGCCCATCCCCCCCAGGACCGCCAGGTTTCGAAAATACCGAATATCGGCCGATTATATCGGTAAAACCGATAATCGGTCAATCCCTACCTGCCAATATGCATACATATTGAGATGCTGAAAGATATCTTGAATTGTCTTCTAATGGACACAGTATGGCAAACCATGCTATAGAATGGTAGTAGATATCTGGAACAGCAAAACATAGTAGTCAGTTAGAGTGGGTAGTAAATACCTAAAATGGCATTCTATTGAAAATCATAAAGGAATTTAAAAGGGCTTGGGGCTTTTCCTGAAGAACAAAAACTAGGGCAATCTGAATCTGAAAGCCTGTGTTAGAGTTATCTCTTGCTTAGAGGGGCCCATTTTATGAGTGTTGTAAGAGATAAAGGTGTGTAGTTTAGGGCATTTTTATAGAGTCTTTGAGTGATTTCAAGACATACAGATGCAATCTGGATGGGTCCTCAGTTTAACACAGCAAGACTTTCTGCAATGTCCCTAGCCATGTTTTTCACCAACTACGCTGTCACAGATGCTCTTAGGAATGGATGCGTAAATCCCAAAGGAGGGGGAGGTGAAGGGAGGGGGGATCTTTACAACATTTAACATATTAAAACGTTGAAGCCCTTCCTTAACTTTTTTCCCTGCCTCTTGGATGAAGTCTACAATCTATAGTAGGAAGTCCTTACACAGGGTGCGAAAAGCCACAATGAAAGTCAAAGCCGGTTATTGCAGGAACACAGTCGATGTCCAGCTTCCTGGCCACTCTGTTGAGGTTTGGCACCTGTAGGTGTGTGCAGCCAATGGGCAACATGCTAGGTTTAAATAGATACACATTCCCAAACTCGTTACGTGGAACCTGTGGTGCAGACAACAAAAAAACATCATAAACTGTCCAACAAACACAAATTCGGGATTGAGAGAGCGTTACCATACCTCCATTATTCACTGCCAAGGCTCGCTCACTCAAACATACATTTAAGCATTTAATTTTTGCCACAGCGTGAAAGAAATAATCAAACGAAAATAAACTCACCAGTGCAGTTCACTTCAAATTTAAAGGCCCTTTATCATTGCCAGAGAGGAGATAAATGCTTACATATTTACAATAACCATGTATTCACTGCATTGGGAGCTCTTCTCAGTTACAGTTAAATTATCAAGACGGGTCTAATTTACTTGTATTGCATTTATTGAATGAATGAGCTATACAATATTTTGAGGAAGAAAAATAGAAGGATAATTTTACTGATCAATCCTGAAAACCTCTAATTCCATTGACATATAATGAATACGGTCTCCACATCCTACCGTCACTGGTGATTCTTAAATCCAATTCTCACCTTCCCGCCTACAGCTACAGGGGGCTGGTAGTCCTCAGTCTGCCAGGGACCGTACAGAGCAAGGTCTGGGCTATCCTTCTTCTCCGGATCTGCCAGGCGTGCTTTCCTTGCACGATTTGACTGTCCTTTCACCATCTGTTCAGACAAAAGAACAAGAGTGCAAAATCATGGGTCACCTGCATTTACAATCTGGCACTGTAGAAAAGAAAACTTATTTAAATTTTTTTTTTTTTATTGCATTTAAATTATATGGTATATTTTCTTTACATTTTAAGGCTGCAGGCCTGTATTTGTGGGAGGAGTTAGCGTTCCTATAAAAAGGCTACTCCCCTTCGCTGTGACGTACGCTGTTCACCTCACCCTCTTCATACTTATACATTTCCTTTGGGGGCCCTCTTTTTATACAGGCCTACCCTTACGTCGGTTTCGGCACACCACACCGACTTAATGCAATCACAAGATATTTCACTGTCCATGTATTAACCGACCACAAATATCTGTTTACTACTTTTCTACTTGCCGATTATGTGAGCAGTGTCCACTTTGATGCTGCTAAAAACTACAGCTAGATGTGAATCCCTTATGCACAGAATTAAAGGGACACTAACCACAAGCACCAATCCTAATTACCTTATATGGTACCTCTCCAAGCCTCACAACGCGTGCTTCTTTCAACCAGGTGTCTCTTGAATGCAGGGTGTGGACACAGGACCTGCAGAATAAAATACAGTATATCCAAATCTAAGCACCCTAATCTTTCAGGTGGGTATATGTCATGCTGATACAGAGGTCATAAACTACAAAAATTCCTAGTAGTCAGTGAACACTAACTGTTTCATTACTGAAGCATTTATTGATGCTTAACTGGCTATCACTACTTACACAGGAGAACTAACAGCGTTGGGGAATTTTCAATTTTGGCCTATATTTTGCGGTTCCATTTTCAGTTGTTTTTAATGGTGCCCTCCAAATCTAAGTGTGCCTAGGAATTCTGGGATACAAAACAAAAGCGTTTTGAGGCAGAGACTGACCTCTGTTCTGGGCTGCCTAATGTCAATTCTGTGCATATTTTACTTCTGTCATCAGCACACTGGCAACAGACACAATTATATTCCCCCGTGCAGGCAATTCGGCTGTTAAGGGAAGCTTGCTCTCCCCTCCCTGTATTGTTTGTATTTAGTTTTGTTTTTTTAATAAAAAATTCCACCTTCCATGCGCCAGCTCAAAGTGCGTGCACATGCTTGGAGCCAGCAAGACGGTCCAGTCACATGCTTGTCTAGGAAAAAACCTGTGATTGGACCGCGTGAGGTCTCCAGTGAAGCTGATGTCGGGCACTTAGCCTATTGCTTGATTACAGGAAAATGTAAACATTATTGGAGAGGGGACCTATTGGCAATGATAATTTTAAGCCTAAAAAGGCAAACTTTATCCAAGACTTGGAGTAACCCTTTAAATAAAAAAAAGATAGCCCAAAAGGTTATTCAGATTCAAATAGGAATGAAAAATTCCTAAATTAATACCAATAATCCAAATGAATTGAACTTCTTGCTGCAAATATAATATGCACTATTTCACAGCAAAAGTGTTATAAAAAACAAAGTTCACAAAAAGACCTTAATTCTATTGTTATCCCGCAAGTCTATGTACACACAATGAACACCTTTAAATGGTTCTCCAAACATCAATGATTAACCTATTAAACTGGACATTGTTCACCTTGAAATCATTTCACTATTAGACATGAATTTATAATGATATAACTGTTAAACTCATTTGATAAGTTATTCTAAATATGAAATATTCATCTTGTTGCAAATATTAAAGATTATAACAACCAGCAAACAGGAGTCTACAATTAAACATCAAGATTTAAATAGAACCTTACTGACTAGTGACTTAAATCAAATCTACACTGCACATTTTAGAGTGGCCTTTTATTGTGGTCAGCCTAAGGCACACCTGTGCAATAATCATGCTGTCTAATCAGTATCTTGATATGCCACACCTGTGAGGTGGATGGATTATCTCGGCAAAGGAGAAGTGCTCACTAACACAGATTTAGACAGATTTGTGAACAATATTTGAAAGAAATAGGCCTTTGTGTACATAGAAAAAGTCTTAGATCTTTGAGTTCAGCTCATGAAAAATGGGGGCAAAAACAAACGTTTATCATTTTGTTCAGTATATGATATACACACACAGGCATTCATGTAGTTTTTGCTTTTACCTTGCATATACAGCTTCACCTCGGCAGTAGCCCAAGATGGCGGCTGTCTCTGGGTATATGGCTTCATACTTGAGCAAGTGCCTTTTCAGAACATACAGCGGGTGGTTCTTGTACTCCGTTATGGATGTTGGCAGAGGCTGCTCCAGTAATTTTGCTTCAAACTTTAGACACAGGAAAATGGAAATATCATTTCTAAAATAATTTCTGGTGTCAAACATAGTGCTTAATGTCTTTCACACGAAACAGGTTTAACACGACTTACAACTACTACTAACTGTTGATGCAAAGTAGAGGAGCACGCAGTGAGAATTGTTACTATGGGCTTTATACCGCAGACTGACTTTCCTTTGGGAACTTACTTGGATAGACCCTATCAAACCACTCTAAAAAGGTTAGCGATTAAACTGGAGGATGTTGCAATGTAACAGTAATTTATATAAGTCATGACATACTCTTTAGCTGTTGTATCTACTGTACCAGGAATTTGTTGGTGTTCTAGAAAAATCTTATGCTATTACAGGGACACGCAACACATTTCTGCAATGCTCATTTGTTTTTCATAAATTAAATTCCCTCCTTATCAACAAGAAAAAGAGGGACTATAAATGGAGAAAATTGTGAGAAAAAAAAAGAGGAAAGATTTTGTATATGTAGAACATTTTTGAGATAACGAGTGTTAGGCCATTTTGTATGCAAGGAAGCCAGATTTGAAATTATACCTCCCTCTCTGCAGACTGCCATAGACAACTTTATCTGGGGATGCAAGCATTGCCAGATTGCCAGGCAGATGTTGTACTGGCCTAGAACTAGAGCGGGTTTGGGCTTTCTGAATCTTTTTCAGAGAAAAGGCAGTGTTTACATTATGGCCTAGTAACACCTCTAGTGACAGTACTCAGGCAGCCACTAGAGGTGCTTCTTAGTCCAGTACTGCCCAGTGTGCAACACCTATGTTCAGCGTCTCCACACTTTAAACGGAGGCCTTGAACATTTCCCATAAGGAGATGCTGATTGGCGCAGTGTGGTATGTTGCTGTGCATGCACAATGGTCTCCTAATGATTTACTATCTCTTCTGCTCTGCCCTCGGAGTGATGTCATATTCCAGTTCCCAGTATCACTGCAGGGCATGCGAGAGAGCAGAGCAAGAAGGGATTGAAGATTACAGCTCGCTCACCACTGGGGTGTGTGGGTGAGCTGATTCCACACCCACTGAATGAGCTGACACCCAGGCTGGGAAGGGGCTACTGGCTCATTTGCTGAAATTGTTCTATAGAATAACAATGGCAGCTCGTAGAGCCCTAGCTGCAAAAGGCGATACGTTGCCTACCCTGACAGAAGATAAACAAAGGATAAGGAAAAACCATTTGACGGATAAGCCCACTGCTATTGGCGTGTGCTCCTTGGGAGACCGGGATGAAGGTCCATAGCTTAGGAGAAAGAGGGCAGGGTTTTGTGTGGGTTTAATGGTGTAGAATCGGTTCTAGTTCTTTGATTCTTTTGATTTGCCTACTCTAGCACACTGAAAAATGTTAAGGAGGGTTATTGGCACTAGCACGGGGGACAACTGTCACAATGATCTTTTTAACAGTACCTAAATTACACAATTCCCACCTATCCATCAAAACAAATTCAAATGGCACACTGACCGCAGTCCACTCTTTCAAATACTTGGGTATGATACTAGACCCCAATCTATCTTTTGGCCTGCACGTAGAAAAGCTTGCATCTAAACTTTATCCAAAACTAGGTGCCCTGTACATAAACAAATCCTGCCTAAGCCCTACAGTAAAGGAAAAGATTGTACAGCAAATGCTGATGCCAATCATTGATTATGGGGATGAACTATATGCATCTGCATCGCAGTCCCACATTAATAAACTCAACACATTGTATAACTCGTTCTGCCGATTTGTGCTACAATGTAATTACAGGACTCACCATTGTGACATGCTAAAAGAACTAAACTGGCTGTCGCTGGAATCCAGACGCACCCTTCATCTTTCCAGCCTTGTGTTTAAGAGCTTTTCTGCGAAACTCCCACCCTACCTGAGCAAAATGCTCTCCTCGGCTGTTCCCCTATAACCTCCGATCCAGTACCAGCACTTTATTTAGTCTACCTCAATACAAAAAGAAAGCAGCCCGATCCTCCTTCTCCTACAGAGCGCCTCAATTGTGGAACGAACTCCCGCACACTTTAAAATCTTCCCCAAGCCTAAAGTCCTTTAAGAGATCCCTCTCTATAGATCTCAAAACAGAATGCACCTGTCACGGTTGATTATATATTTCCTACCTGTTCTATGTTAAATATTGTATTTATTGTGTATTTATATTGTTTTTGTATTTTATTGTACCCTAATTGTAACAATGCAATGATTTGTGGACCCAGGACATACTTGAAAACGAGAGAAATCTCAATGTATCTTTCCTGGTAAAATATTTTATAAATAAATAATTGGTATTCAAGGTATGGGTTAATAGGCTCCTATCGAGTGCAATTCAACTGTGCTTTCAATAGTGAAGTACTGTCATTGTAAAGTGTCTTGTTTTTCTTGTCTTATTTTAGTTGTTAATTCTATTTTTGTTCTGAAATGTGAAACTACAAGTACTGATTGTAGTAGGTTTATACTGTGTATTGTATCGCTGCCTTGGTGCTAGAAAAATAAAGAATTTAAATAAATAAATAAAAAGCTCACTCCACTCTAAGAACATTAACAAACAGAAATAAGTTTTCAAGTTAAAATATTAAATATGTTAACTCATGCGGAGTCACTTCTAGCCGAGGGACATACCCTCTTTTTTTTTAACATTCAACAATTGCCACATAATATCAAGGAAAATGTGATTCATCAGACCAGGCAACCTTCTTCCAGTGCTCTATGGTCCAGTCCTGGCACTTACTTCCTTATTGAAAGTGTTTTGGCGATGGACAGGAGACATCATGGGCACTCTGCCCGTTTTGCTGCGATGCACTGTGTGTTCTGACACCTTTCTATCGTGGCCAGAATTAGGTTTGAGCGATTTGAGCTACAGTAGCCCTTCTGTTTAATCGGACCAGACAGGCTAGCCTTTGCTTCTCACATGAACTTTGAGAGCCCATGACCCTAACACATGTTGTCCTTGCAACACTTTTGGTAGGTACTAACTGCATACCGGATACACCCAACAAGACTTGCCGTTTAGGGGATACTCTGGCCCAATGGTCTAGTCATCACTATTTGGCCTTTTTCAAAGCAACTCAGAGATCCTTTTGTTTGCCCATTTTTCCTGCTTCCAACACATGAATTTTAAGGTTTACTTGGTGCCTAATATATCCCATCCCTTGACAGTTGCCATTGTAATGATATAATCAATGTTATTTATTTCACCTGTCAGTGGTTTTAATGTTGTGGCAGATCAGTGTAAAGTGTGTTGATGAAAAACAGTTAAGTGCAATAAAAACAAAAACACTTATAATTCAACTAGAGGATAGAGACCTTAGGAGTTATTCCCCTGAAAAGAAAACTACAGTGTTAGGAATACAAAACTTTATTCCTAACACTAGAGTGCCTCCACACCACCACCACTTACCCAATTCCAGCACCAATGTCTCTTGGTGCTGCTCCTCAGTAGTGTCACTAGGGTTGATGTCACCTGGTGCTGTAACTCATGGTGTCAACCCAAGAAGGAGTGTGAGGTCGCTCTGCAATTCTTGGAGGAGACCGCTGCGCTATGACCCAGGGCTCACCCTAGCGTTGCCATGACTCAGAATACGTGTACGCAAAGGGCAGGGGAGGTCGGAAGAAGGAGCAAGTAAGTGATGCCGCTCGCATAGCGAAGGATCGGATGGCAAAATATTTAGCACACTATTGTAGGCAGCGGGGCTCAAGGAGCAACTGGGCCCATGCCCTTTTGCCCTGCGTTAAAGGTGGTGTCACTCCCCCCCCCCCCGATACACACCCTGGTGCGGTCCGCACCCCTCACACCTCCTTTGTGATGCCTCTGCTGCTCCTCCACCAATGTCAGCTGATGCGGCTCTGGTGGCTGTCTAGTGCAGTGGTCCCAGACTCAGTCCTCATGGACCACCAACAGTCTTGGATTTATGGATTTCATTTTTTTTTTCAAATTGAGATACTGACACACCCTGGGCTGCTGGTGGTCCATGAAGACTGGGTGGGGGACCACTGGTCTAGTAGACAGCCACTAGAACTGCAATCTTTTACATTGCAGGGTTAAGGGAACAAGCTCTGCACCCAGAACACTCCAATTAGATCAAATGGTCTCAATGCCTACTGTCTTTTCAACAATTTGAAAAAATAAATAAGGAAACATGTTGTGTTACTATATGTTACTAGAGTAAGACAAAATTGCTACAATAGTGCAAAGCTTTGTTTGGATATTTTGTTGCAATAATGACATCTAGTGGTAGAAATCAGAAAGTTACATATACCTTATACTAAAGCCATTCCTGACTATATAATTATGTATGAGAGTTACAAAACTTGGTCCGAACAACCACACATCTACAAAGGATCAATCTAAGTGTTTACCTTTCACCCAGTTGCAAACAGATCTAGAAGAAAAATTCTCAATCTAAATGCAGATTACAACTTCATAGTACATCAATGCTGGCTTATTAACTTAAAGGCAACAGCGATCTATACACCCTGTATAGCCTGTTACCACCATCTGATCGCATGGGAAAGATATTTTTACCCACCTTTTTTCCCACGATGCGCTGCTCTCGCCGCAGCTGGCCTTGCCTTATTGTCGGAGATCATTAATCTTGAAGATCTCAGTTAATACCAATGCTTTCCATAGTAAAGCATTGGAAGGCTATTCCGCATGTGCGACAAACGTCTGAGGCAATCATCATTTCCTCATAGAAATGCATTGAACCATGTATTGAAACATGGGGAATGTTCAGTGCTTCCATGCAGTGCATGGAGATGATGAACATAGGTACTGCGCACTGTGCAGCACTGGACTAGGAAGCACCTCTAGTGGCCGTCTCAATGACAGCCACTAGAGGTGTTACTAGACAGCAATGTAAACAATGTATTTTCTCTGAAAGGGCAGCATTTACATTGAAATTCCAGCAGGCTATAGACATCAGAACAACTACATTAAGCTGTAGTGGTTCTGGTGACTATAGTGTCCATTTAAGAGCTGTTATTTTTTGTCATTGAAAAGAAAGATTTGCTAGTTTAAAAAAAAACAACAACAAAAAAACTGGCTCCTAGATTTAAAGAAAATTTGTCAAGCGGCGAGAGCAGCGCATCGTGGGAAAAAAGGTGGGTAAAAATTTGTCTGAATACAATTGAATTAAGTCTATTCATTATTCTGGGTCAAGCCATGCACCCAATAAAAAGGTAGTCGGTCAGTGTAACAGAGTCAAAGCTATATTATCTATGTTAATTATATAGTGGTCATTTTTTTGTCCTCCTACATATGCTGTATTTTGTCACTGCCCAATTCTATTTAGTTTCGATTAAAAAAACAAAACAGAAAAAACCCAACACATTTTCAGTTTTCTGCAGCAAAAGCCTACATTAATAGCCACACCACCACCTCTCACTCAATGTGTTCCTAGATTGGCCTCTACCACTCCGTACATAATGAAAAACTTAGAGTAGTGATTGAGCAGCTGTAAGACAGGAAGGCTTCAGACTGGAGGAAGAGAACAGCCAGAGAAACACAAGGTGAATACTACTATTACATGTATGGATGTATGTATGTATGCATATATGTATTACAATTAGGGAGGATGGGATGATTATTATTCATTACCTCTGCATCTTCTTTCTCCTCTCGCTCAGAGTTTGGATTTTTATATGGCATCAAAGTCTCCTCCCACCACTCTTCATCAATGCGCCGTTTCCTTGTACTTGTCATCCACTGTGCGTCATACCGTCTTGTCACATCTTTCACGCATCCATCATTGTCTATGGCCACCACGTATGTGACCGGTTTGGTGGCACTCTTGTAACATAACTGAGGTTTTCCCAATGTCTTATTCACACAATCTACACACACCCACGTGCCATCATTCTCAAAATAAACCTCCACCCATTGATCACTGCCTAGGTTTGAGGCTGTAGTTTGCTCCTCTTCCTCCTCATCGGTGGAGATAATCTTGCCTCTTCTCTTAGGGTTAGTGTTATTGGTATGTTTGGGGGAGCTTTTAGATGTGGATTTCTCAGTGTTGCTAGGACTCATTGGGTTGCTGTCCTCACCCTTTGTGGACTTTGCTTTTACCATTGCGGAGACTCTTCTGACCTTTTTTTCAAATGACGTGTCCACAAAGTCAGAGTAATCACTCTCACTGTCTGAGAAAGAGAAGTCTGAATCACTGCTTCCTGCTCCACTCTCACTGTCCTCCTTGTAGGTCACTTTGGAAGCAGCACTCCTCCTGAGCTGGTTTTTGGGACGAGGTCCTGGTTTAGTCTCTTTCTCATTATCAACCTTTAAGTTACTCTTGTTCTCGGATTTAAGAGCACGTCTGCTAACTGGAGTGATGTCTGCTGGCTTCTCATTCTCCCCTTCGTCACTATCTCCAGATAGAGTGGCCTCTTGTTTTATCTTTTTCTCATTTTTCTTCTTGGGGTTTGTCTTTAATTTCCCTTTTGGAGATTTTTGGGTTGAACGGGCTTTCTTGGACACCTTGGCAGATTTGTCACTGGTGCATTTAGTCTACAAATTAAACATTAACAAAATTAAATGTACCCTGTAAAATGGTCAGTACATATATTCCTAAATTCACAGTCTGTAAAATATCACCTCTGAATTCAGTAAACAATTTCTTGCGATTATGGAAAAATTCAATATAATTTAAGAATTGTGTGCCACTTTTGCTTCTGCTCATTAACACCTTCGTAACTAAAGTTAAGCACAGTATATGCTGCTACTGTTAGGCTAAATGTGCATACATTAAGTTAAATTAATGACTACATGCACGCAAAGTGTGCTATCAATTCATGTAGCACACACAAGGTAAAGTAACTTTCCACTGAAGTTATCTCAAGGTAATCTTGACATTGCTGATCACCTGTACATATCATAAATGTATTTGCACCTTGCTTTCCACATATGTCCTTACTGCAGTTTATTGCAACTTTTCTTCATAATATTAATTTAACCAGGACTAAAGATCCCTTTACAAATGCTTTGATTTGTTTAGATTCAATGTCCCTATGGTTCACTGCAAAGCATCAAGGCAAGACTTGAATAAACAGCAGAATTAAGGAACAATGGGCTCATTTCCAATGTTGTTGGTAAAAGTGTGCTGTAAACCGTCTACTGGCTGTAACAGTCAAATATATTTGCAAGCTATTTCCAAGATTCACCTCTTCCTTTAATGTCTGCCTAAATTGGTACTTGGTACTGACCATCAGCACAGTTTAGAAAATCAGAAAAAGGTACATGTAACAATTAACTGCTATAGCAGCTCCTTTGGGACAAAATTCTAATAAGCTATTTTGATGTCACAGTGTAATGTAATGGCCATCTCCTGCCCACTTTGAGTATTAAATTGTCATATGAATTTAGATATTTGACTAAAGCGCATTCTGTCAAATTTATACGGAACTCTCTAGATACCAAAACCACAAATATGGGTAAATATAGGTAATGGTGAGATGTTCATTTTTTGTAATATAGAAACTTCCCTGAGCAGTAAAACAACCAGTTTTGAAGGGAAAAAAAATTCTGTCACCCAGTAACCCTCTTTTTCCCTTTCTCCATATTATGCACCTGAAACATTTGTACATTTAATTGGAATTCAGTGGCAGTAAACCATGATTAAGAATGTCACTAACACAAGCTTTGTACTCTGCACCCATTAACTGTAGTGTTACGTTGCATTGAGTATTACCCAGTGCTTCTTAATGGAATGTAACATTTCCCAAGAGTACCAGTATGTTTAGCAAGATAGCAATAGCACATTGCAACAATATGAGGCAAAGTGAAAACACTTAATACTACAATTCAAGAAGTTAATTCATGGCTGGAAAAATAGTGTAAGATAGTTGATGTAATCAGCTCATATAAGGGAAGAGAAGCAGGAATATCAGAGGGCTGACAAAGACCACAAATGGGAGATAAATACAAAAGAAACTGTTGGGAATAATACACTTTGCCTATATTTACCCAGGGCTTAAGATACAGATGACCGGCTGGCCAGTCTGCTTAAAATTGGTTAACATGTCAACTATTTGCAATAATGTATTTTATCTATATCCAATGCTTAGTGAATATACCCCTAGACAATAAAGAGCTATATAATATCATGTATCAAGTCACAGGTGTTATATCCTGTATTCTTCTGTCTGTCGGCCTTATTTCCTGTTTTTCTTCCTTTGATCATAACTGCAGAGTAATGTGGAATTTAGAACGTAGTGGTAAATATCTTTAATTTTCAGTGTGCATGCATATTACTTTGGAGTGCGTGGTTATTGTGAAATTTAGCTGTGTGCAAGGTATACACCTGGAAGCTTGCTATAGGTTAAGATGTTAAGAGAAGATAGCTGATTTTGTTAGGATTGGATAATGCTTGTAAGATCACCCCTGTTTCCTCTTGAACATAAACTGTTACACAGCTCATTAAACGCTGAGAAAACACTTTGAATCTTGCATTGTCTTGTCTTGTTCATTGGGGGCTCCTCACCAGCTGGTTTGGAGACAACGAGAAATACAGAGAGTTGCAAATTGATACAAAAGACCATGGCAAGGGAAAAATTTCGGACAGAGAAAATTACTCACTATCAGAAACTAAATGAATTCAGGTGTGGACAAGAAATATGGCGGTAATCCTTTTAACCTTTAGACAAGATGCTAAATGTTTAAAACTTTTGCTTCTTTAAATACTTAAGGCTATAGCCTTTTTCACCTTCGCAGGAGGTTCCTTAAATGGGACAGGTTGCAGAGACAACACCAGACGACTCACAAGTTTCAATGCTCGAAGAATAATGAGAAAAATCTGTAAGTAAAAAAGAGCACAAATTAACTCTAGAATAGGGGTTCTTAACATGAGTCAAAAATTTTTTTTTGAGGCCCAAGGTAATAGTTCACAATAAATGCTTTACAGCAGCTTTTGCGTATGACAAAAAAAACTGACAGCAAACCGGTATCTAACCAATTTCTATAGCTCCCAGGAATCTGTACCAAATAAGAGACTAGGAAAGTGTCATGGGAAATGTAGCTGCATAGGTCCTTAATAGCTGGAAGCCACCTGTTGGCCACACCTACGCACTACAGTAGTAATAGTGGAAATTATCTTACATGAACCATCTCCTCTTCATCTCTGATTCCATAGACCCCAAATCTCCTTTCCAGAGTACCGGAAAGGGGTTCCTTGTCGTCCACAGACATCTCTGGATTTAAGGTGAAAGTTCCAGTAAACCTGAGAAGTTAAAACACAGTATCAAGATGAAACACATTTTTACACTTTGACCTCACTAATTGACATTAACGCTTCCAGTGTCTTAGATTCATGAATAAGACTAAATAAGGCAAGGGTTTTAAATATACAGTAAATACTCTTTTATTCACCATCTTCTAAATTCCAAACAACCAATCTACATTATATGGAAGTATTGGGACACAGCTCTTAATTATTTAATTTAGGTGTTTCAATCAGATTCATTTCCACAGGTGTATAAAGTCAGGCACCTATCCATGCACTCTGCATTTACAAAACTCTTGTGAAAAAAATGGGTCCTTTTGAAGACCTCAGTGAATTCAAACGTGGTACTCTGATAGAATGCCCACTTTGCAATAAGTCAGTTATTAAAATGTCATCCCTTGTTAAACTAAGTGGTATTGGAAAGTGGTAGGGGCAGCAGCAACTCACCACGAAGCGGAAAACCATATAAAGTCACAGAACGAAATTATCAAGTGTTGAGGCACATGGTGAGTAAAAGTCGCCAATGCTCTGCTGATTCCATAGCTGAAGAGTTCCAAACTTCCACTGAAATTAATATCAGAACAAAAACTGTGGCAGGGCAGCGGGGGGCCAAAAACTGATCTCGGGGCAGACAAGCATTGACTGTGTGTTGGAGTCGGCTGCTCTCCCACTGCCACAATATCCTGTTGACTCCAGCCTGGGTACCCGTTCCCCCCCCTATGGACCAACAGAGGTGTCCCCACCGACCCAATACACACATCACCACCAGCCCCGGCTGTGCTATATAGCCCAAGCTACAAAGACAATGGGCCTAGAAAGATGGCGGACACAACCCAACTGCCAGTGCCTACACTAACACATCCTGGTGGGAACTGTCACAATCTGGTGGAGCACTCACTCCTGCAAATAGACAAGCTGTTCCAATGATTTTGGGACCATCTGGAGCAATGACCGTACAGACGTCACCTAACCCTAAATGAGAGGTGAGGAGGGCTGAGGAGTTCAGACAGAGTGGGCCTCTCTTCGGCAATTCCTGCATCCACTACTCGTGCCAAGTACCGACCTGGGCCGAAGGCCACATGGAGAAAGCCTCCACAGCATTGCTCACATCGTTGGAAGCCCAACCGCCACAGGCGGCGGCAGTAGATTTGGGCCTTCCATAGCGCACGAAATGAGGAAGACTCGGTCTCAAAATGTTCCTGAGTCTGTGGAATACAGGTGCTGGCCTTCCATAGGGCCTGGAGAACAGCCACCTGCGACTTGCCACCCCCCCTCAAGGTGCCTCCATACCCAGAATGGGTATTGGTTGACTATAGACTTTCTGGTCCGCAGAACCTGCTCGCTAACCCCCCCAACGTGTACTCCACTACTAGTATCGGACATCATTTGACTCATCCAAGTTCACTCTCATGATTAGGTTTCTCACTCACTTATGCATTCATTTTTTGTTTTTTCATACTCCAAATTAATGCCCACAACACGAGTAGTTGTAGTGGCAGAGTGTGTCAGGACTCGGTGGCATATCTAGCAAAATTCTTAGCCAGAACCGCCGCACTTCTTCTATGCATGTCAATCAGTTATAGCCATGCCATAAAAGTTACTCATTGCATAGCATTAACTACTAATTATAATGTCTCTTGGGCTTTTGCTATCTAGACGAGTAAGCTTAGCCTTTACCTTGTACAACTAGTTTTGTTTACTACTAGCACTGTTATGTCTGCTGTACCTAACCTGCATACAAGTTTAGCCAATGGCATACATTTAGACACATGTGCCTAGCCTGCTTTAGATACAAACTGAGAAACTATGTTTACATTTGGGTTAATCCAGCCTCTAGTGGCTGTCTCATTGACAGCCGCTAGAGGCGCTTCCGTGCTTCTCACTGTGAGAAGACGCCAGCGTCCATAAGAAAGCATTGAGAATGCGCATTCAGCCGATGTCGGGGAATGGAGGATGAGAGTCCCCAGCGCCGAGGGAGCCTGGAGAAAGGTGAGTTTTTAACACCCTTCCTCTCCATTCAGCCCGGCGGGAGTGGGACCCTGAAGGTGGGGGCACCCTCAGGGCACTATAGTGCCAGGAAAACGAGTTTGTTTTCCTGGCACTATAGTGGTCCTTTAACCATGATGCTAACTGCAACAAGAACGTACACTACTATGCCTTTCAGCATGGTCCCACAATGTATAGCATACCGAAAACACATGCTTATCCAGCCAATTCGCTAGACAATACAGTTTAATTTGTTTCCCTATTTTTCCTTTACTATCCCAAAATGTGTGCTGACCGACTGCTAGAACAAAATGTTAATTTGCCAAGTTTCTAATCTTACTCTGACTGAAGTATGCTATTCATTTTATTATGTTTGCACTATAACTGGAACTTTGTGATATGGCTTAATGCTTTTACAACAGAGACATGCGTGTCTTGAGAAGTTCCTTTTTCCTGCTGTACTCTATCAAACACCTTTGGGATGAACTGGAACAGGGATTGTGAGCCAGGCCTTCTCGTCCAACTCTCGCTCTCTCCTTCAGCTCTCCTAGTTGGCTTTTTCTCCCTCACTCTGCAGCAGGCTGATCCCTTCTTTAAAAAGCCTGCCTGCTAATTGACCAGTTAAAGGTGAGTTGAAATTAGTCACATACAAATTCTGGCGTGGCTATTACATAGAACTTGTGCTGTTGGAGCACTGGCCCGCCATGCTCTCCAAATGCTCTGCCTCGGGAACCCTTATCGTGTTTTGCAGACTACCAGCAATGTATATTGCAAATTTAACATCTCTCCCTGGGACATTAAACTGAAAAACCTCAGGCTGCTTCCCCCAACCACCATTCCATATTTTCGCTCACAGTATTTAGAATGCAATGTAATAAAACTCTCTGTTGGTGTAATGGTCAGGTGTTTTAATATATTTCTCCATATAGTGTATAATGTTCCATAGACTTATACGGTCAGAAAAATCCCATTTCTAATTTCCTTGGATTGCAAGAATCCACTTTAAATGGACAGTGACGTTTTTTCTTCTCCCCATAACACCCTTTTATTTTTTACAGACATCCTTAGCTATCACAGAAGTCTTACAGAAGTGTGCTTATAGCTAAATATGTGTTGTATTACGCCTAAGTCTCTTAGAGGGACACAATTCTGAAAAAAAGCTTGTTTAACATAAAATATAGGTAAAGTGCAAAATATATTTACATGTGGTTAACTTTTCATCTTTAAAACATCATATCTTTTGGCTGGATCTTACATTTTTCAAGATTTTTCATAACCCTGTCAAAATGATTAGTCTTAATTAAACATGTTGTACAGTTTTATAGCAATATAAAATAAATAATATTACTTTTTTATGGTTTAATTTATATGTATATGTATTGTATTAAACATTTATATGGTTACTGCACTACAATACATTTTAGGTCTAAAACCACTCCTGATCATCGGTCTTAATGGAAAAAGTTTTGCAGAAATAATGCCTTATGTGATTAAGCTACAATGTCTTATGAAAGCAAGCACATAGTTAATCAGTACAAACAAGAAGAAAAGATAAGTATAAATGAACTCACTGAAACACTAAAGGATTGCACATGTTATTACACAATATATAAAAGTTAATCTTTCTTTCATAATAGTGTCCCTCGTGTCAGGAGTTGTTTAATCCTCTTTGTTTTGATACAGAGAAGCTCTCTCTATACAGCCAGCACAGAAGTTCATGTGTTTAGCTCATAAACTTACCAGTTCAACAGATTGGTCAGGTATGTCAAATTCAAAGAGGCAGGAGAGGTAAACTTTGCTGGAACTACTGAAAGGGCCACAGCCAACAAGTCAGGCATGTTACATGTGTTACTGCGATGGAAACCATTGCCCAACAAGCAAAGCAAATGAACCTGCAATATTAGGGAGAAAAAAAAAAAAAAAGAAAAAAAAAACCAAACTTATTTTAAAGTCTCAGAAGGACTACAAAGTGCTGGTTTATACAATACTTTGCCATGTTGAACTCAGCAAAAAAATTAACCCCTTTTTGTTTCAACTCAGCAGTTTCGAGGGTTGATATTAAATTAAAAAAAAAGAAGAGTACAAAGCAGTCTTGAAGGCTAGTATGATAGAAAGCGTGCTTATGGACTAATGAAACTTATATGCTGATTATGCTTTGATCCTCACCTTGTGGGTATCTTCCCGAAGCTCCTTACTGAATCGATTCATCATCCTACGAAGGTATGCTGCAAATTCTGCTTTCCTTTTCTCTCTGCAAACAGGAAGAGGTGAAGCACATACAGTCTTTCACCACTCCAGTTGTTATGGACTAACCACTTGCCTAGCTATGACTCAAGTGAAGTCCATACCAACTGGAGTTCTAAGTATAGCTATCACTAATCTAAACACTAGAGAAATCTGCTATGGAGCCTATGAAAATATCTGTGAACAAAAAGGTACAAAAGGTATAAGAAACTTACCTCCTTAATCGTTTCCTGGCTGCTTCTGCTGTCTCAATTTCAATCTCCACCGGCTCAGCAGGAAGATCAGTTTCCAAAGATGTAGTGGCTTGAAGATCCTCCACTGCAGGCCCATTGAGTTCTAAATAAAGGAATCATAGTAAGTCAAAGCCAATAAAGAATTATCTAAAGTTTGATAAGTGTAACAAAAACCCCCACAACTCAGACATATAACAAAGCAACATATGAACTGTGCATTCATTTTTTGTTTTTTCATACTCAACACTGTGACCAATAAACAAAAAAAAAAAACAAATAAGCACATACTTCTTAAAATTATCGCAATTAATCTGAATTACAATGTATAAACTGTGTCAACAATGTATCCCTGGAAGTATCTGGTTACTAGCTAGAACAAAACTCCAAATAAAACATTAAATACAATTAACAAACCATTCTGCCATACCTTCTACATCCTCCCACTCATCCTCACTCTCTTCTTCAGGATCCTCAGAATCACTGCCTTTTTTTACAGTTGCTTCAGGAATAATCCTCTCTAGATTTAGGAGATCCCTGGTGGAAACAGCATTGAGAGATCAAGAGATTAGAGTATCGCTCTGGTTCAGCTGTGTTGCCCTTAAAATTTAAATTCAATTTTAATTCTCACTTTAAAGGAACACTATGGGGTCAGGAACACAAACATGTATTCCTGACCTTATAGTGTTAAAACCACCATCTAGCCTGGCCCAATTAAATACAGTATATTCTTACCTTTATTCCAGCCTGCTGCTGGCTCTGCCCCTGATCTGGCTGCTTGGCTGATATAATCAGAAGTGTTAATCTGAACCAATCACAATGATTTTCCATGGGAAAGTCTGAAATTGTCAAGGAGGCAAATGAGGGGCAGAGCCACCACAAGCCAAACACAGCCCTGGCCAATCAGCATCTCCTCATAGAGATGCAATGAATCATACAGACGGTGGAGACACTGAATGGCAGTGCTGCGCCCCCAATAGAACCTTTAATAACCATCTGAGAAGTAGCCAGTTAAGGTATCCCTAGGATGTCATGTAAACACTGCATTTTCTCTGACAAGACAGCTTTCACTGCAAAATGCATGAAGACAAATGCTTATACTCACCAGAACAAATACAATAAGCTGTAGTTGTTCTGGTGACTATAGTGTCTCTTGAATAACCCTGTCAATTGAGGATAACAGAGTTGGAATATTTTCCAGTGTGACTATTTTGTCACAAAAAGTATAATTTTCTGGTTAATTTTATGTTTTTGCCCCCACAATAGTATTTAGTAAACACCAAATTACAGCAAACTGACATTGAAATGTCAATGTTTAGTCAAATACAGAGGATCTAAAAAAAAACTCCAAAAGCTATCCACAACTTTATATTTTAACCTTAATTTTGCAATTCAATTTTAAATTTGCTAAATTTCTTAATTTAGTGAATAAACATGTTTGCATGCATCATGTGTAAAGATTAGCACGGAGGTCTGGTTGATCAATATAAAGAGCAGATTAGAAGAGTCTACATTACTTACCTAATTTCTTCCTCTGTCTCCTCTTTTTTTAGTTCAGTTGGTTTCTTTGGCTTGGTAGGTTTTTTTCTGGGGCACACTGCAGGGGATGTCTCCGCCACACAGGATTTAACAGTCTTTTTAGTGTTTCGCACACCTGGTGCTGTGGGTTTACTTTTTTTAGTTGGGGCCTTTCCATCTTCATGCATGTCGTCCTTGCCATCTGCGAGTTTAAACCACAAAGAGATTTGTAAACAGGAAGGCATGCATGTGCAAAGTATTCATTGGCAAAATATAAAGTAAAAACAACCTTTTGAAAACATTTTGCAAAATAAAGAACTTTAATTTTATCTGCTACTGACTTTGAAAAGGCTGACACGAGAAGAGACAAAGGAGTATAAGTTGCTCACTGAATAATAGCAGACACAAATTTGTAGCTTTGTAGACTCTGTAAACTCACCCCCTTGTTCGGCAGCCTTGGCTTGGCTTCCTCTCCTTCTCTTGGCAGGCAGGTTCTTTGACTTTTTGGTCCCTGTCTTTGCATCCGCAGATCCCCTTTGCTTCCCCATCTCTTCCTCTTCTGTTTTGCATTCTGCTGCTTTTTGAAAATAGGGAGCAGTTAAGCAAATACACAGGCCATCTACAACGCTTAGACAGGCAAAGGTGAAAATAAAGGACAGGCTATAGAATGATAAACACGCAAGAGGAGTAAAATGCAGGAAAACAGGCTGAAACTATGATATGGCACACGTGTGCAGGATGAAAGCTTGGCGCAAGGAGACCAACGGGTAAAATGGAAGAACGCTTAAAGTAGACTGGTGTTATGGATGACTTTTCAACCCATGTAGACTACTTGCTGCACAATCACACTTGTACAGGATGGAGATTAGGGATACACGAGAAGTGCCTACTGTAAGGGGGTGCAGGGAGGGCAGACGTGTGGCCGGCCCCGGGGTGGGGGGAGACGCGGAGGCGCGCGGCCGGCCCAGGGTGGGGGGAGACGCGGAGGCGCGCGGCCGGCCCAGGGTGGGGGAGGGAGGACGGGCTGCCAGCCCCGGGCGTGCCAGCCCGTGGGGGGAGGGTGGCGCGCGCGGCCAGCCCGGAGGGGGGGGGAGGGAGGACAGGCACGCGGCCGGCCCGGGGGGGGGCGCGCGGCTGGCCTGGGGGGGAGGGAGGGCAGGCGCGCGGCCAGCTCGGGGGGGGAAGAGGGCAGACGCGCGGCCGGCAGTGACATAGCTTTACACACACAGTCTTAGAATTTCACTTTGAATTCTCACTTTAGCAAATAATCTTTCCAGTGAAAGCACTGATTGCAAAAAATGCAGGTACAGAGAACACGGTGTAAGCAGGTTCTGTGCAGGAGGAATGCACAGGCAGAATGAGGGCTATTGCTTACTGTAACATTTATTTACAGTACTCACCTGTCTCTGCAGCCCTGGCTTGGCTTCCCCTTCTCTGCTTGGCTGGCCGCTTCCTCGGTTGCTTGCTCCCTGCCTTCTCCTCCACAGAGCCCCTGCGTTTCCCCATCTCTCCCTGTCTGGATTCACATGCTGCAGCTTGTGTAACACACCGGAAACGCCAGAATGTCAACTTCCGGTGCCGAGAATGTGCAGACCAGAGACAGACAGCAGGCTCGCCATCTGGCCCCGCCCCCTCCAGCCTGATTGGCTGATACACCTCTTCTTCAGCCCAGCGCGAGCACTGCTGTGTCCTCTCACTTCCGGTGCGCGGGGTTTTCAAGATGGCGGATGATGGGGACCAGGTGAGTGTCTGTGCGCTGGCTGTCCCTCTGTCCCCACAATGCTGTGCGGTTACTCACTCAGGGCTCCTCTCCGGTCACCTGCCCACTCAGGACTGCCGTCTCAGTAAGCATTGTATAGATTTACCGCCCACGGCCACTGCGTGGAGAGAGCAATCCTACGGCACAGTCACCATGGGAACCAGCATATTGTGATTATTCCACGCTTAGAACGTTCATTCCACCACAGTTACTCTATGTACCCATACCGGGATGGCTGCTGGACAACCGCTTAGCCAAAAAAGCTGTCAATCAGTAGATTTGCCCTTGGTTTTTACCGCCCTCTCCATGTAAGTCAGTCATTTAACATGGTGCTGTGATTATACTGCTCACTGAGCTGGGAGTATTTAAAGGGACACTATATAGTCACCTGAACAACTTCAGCTTAATGCGTTTGTTCAGGTGAGAACTATAGCTCCCTGCAGCCTTTCTCATGTAAACGCTTGAAAGCTAGGAACACATCCAGTTGCAGTCACTCAGAGTGAACCAAAGGGACTTCGGAGTTAATAGAGGCATGATATGACTCCATCCACTCAGATCTGCTGTCAGCAGAGCACAGGGCAGCACTGTGCACAGCATCCTGTGATTCAGTATCTCCTCCCTCTGCATGCAGACACTGAACTTTCCTCATAGATTCGTTGATTCAATTCATCTCTATGAGGAGATGCTGATTGGCCAGGGCTGTGTTTGAATCATGCTGGCTCTGCCCCAGATCTGCCTCTTTGTTATTCTCAGCCAATCCTATGGGAAAGCACTGTGACTGGATCAGGCTACCACATGTCAGCAGACTGCTTGTTTTTCTGAGTCCAACAGCATGCAGATTTACAGCTTCTGGCTTGAATACAGTAAGACTTTTACTATATTTATGAAGGCATGGGGGCTAGATGGTGGTGTTAACACTATATAGTCAGGAATACATATTTGTGTTCCTGACCCTATAGTGATCCTTTAAAACGGGACATTGTGCACGGCCAGGAAATTTCAGATCCAATAGAGCTCTAATTTGAATTGTAATTCACTTATTTGTAAATTACACGATTGAATAAAACCTTGACTGTCACTTTCTGGGTTTTCTGTAATGATTTTTTTATTTTTTTACAATCTTATATTGTAAAAGTTTTAGCAAATTAACTTTAAGGACCACTATAGTGCCAGGAAAACATACTCGTTTTCCTGGCACTATAGTGCCCTCAGGGTCCCCCTCCCGCCCGGCTCTGGAAGTGGAAAAGTGGTTAAAACTTACCTTTTTCCAGCACTGGGCGGGGAGCTCTCTGCCTCTGTTCCTCCCCGTCGGCTGAATGCGCACGCACGGCAAGAGCTGTGCGCACGTTCAGCCGGTCGCATAGGAAAGCATTATCAATGCTTTCCTATGGAAGCTTGCGTGCTCTCACTGATTTTTTTCACAGTGAGAATCACGCAAGCGCCTCTAGCGGCTGTCAATGAGACAGCCACTAGAGGATTTGGGGGAAGGCTTAACCCATTGATAAACATAGCAGTTTCTCTATAAAAGAATGGGTTAAGCCTAGCTGGACCTGGCACCCAGACCACTTCATTAAGCTGAAGTGGTCTGGGTGCCTAGAGTGGTCCTTTTAAAATCTAGTTCTATCTAGACAAAGTCAGGATATGCAGTGCAAATGAGGAAGAGTACAGAAACACTATTTCTGTTTCACCTTATCAATTAGTGTTACTCTAACCTGTTTTTGAAATGTATCGGTTTTCCTTTTAAACGTATAAAACTGCTATTCTGACTCTAATTCCTCCTTGGGCCAAATACTATTCACACTTCATCCCTGCTGCATTACTAGGTTCCCTGCTTCTCCTAAAGAAGCCGCTTTAAAAAAATAATAAAATATATATATTTATTATTATTATTTTTATTTTTTTTAACCTTTTGAAAAATGCGCAAATTGGCTACTTTTGATAGCATGCATGCAGTGTTCATGAAGAGTAGAAAGGTATAGGCTGTCCAGAGGGTGGTTAAGGGGAGGGAAATAAGGTATTGTCATGTATAGGATGTCATGGCGAGTGCTAAGAAGAATGGCAATAAGAAGGAAGCAAATTACAATTGAGCACTTTAGTTGGATTGTGCGTGAGTTGCATGCACACCGTCCTACAGACTTCTCCTTGAAGGTGCGAACACAGTGCCACCTGCGAGGGAAGAAGCCGATAACGTCCAGTGCACAGTGTGTACTGATCAGTCAATCCAGAACAGAGCTGACTAAGTCACGTGTGCTGTAGCTGTAACTAGACCCTGCCACAAAAATGATATTTCTCTGTATAGGCTTGCTCAGTGACCACTTCAGCAAAATTATTTAAAGTGTATGGTACAAAAGTCAGATGTAATAAATCTGTTCTTTAAATCTTGTGTTTGTGATATAGGCACCGACCACAAATACAGTAGAAGAGCCCCTTGATCTGATCCGGCTGAGTTTAGATGAACGGATATATGTGAAGATGAGAAATGATCGAGAGCTTCGGGGACGGCTGCATGTAAGTGTATTAATGTTGTTTTTGTTTTTTTAAAGTGTGCAGCATCACATTAGAGACATCTGGTTAATTATGTGTACATATCTCTTCCAATGCAGGCATATGATCAACACTTGAATATGATATTGGGGGATGTTGAAGAAACAGTTACAACAATAGAGATTGACGAAGAAACCTATGAAGAGATTTACAAGGTAAAAAACTTTAGGATGAGTGTATTGAAAAAGCTGTTGTAGAAATAGAATCTTACCTTGCAAACTACACAAATGTTGTTCGATCAAATCCTTGGCAACCTTACTGTTTTAATAGTTTAAACAATGGGATGGTGAGATCTTATGTATAACATTTGCTGTCTTGCACATGGAAATCAATCACTCAAAATCTGGCCTGCGTGATTTTTCTTTATTGTATGCAGAGCTGCAAGGTATAGGGTGTGATTTAAAAATGGGTTGCTAACCGCAATACAATGGGTATAGAATTGGCTTATATGTGCAATTATCATCCTTGCAAAATACATACATTGACACGGAGGGATAAATCATTTAGAGGTGATTAATAACTTCAGGGTTCCTTTAAATGGACATTCTGGGCACTATAACAACCTCACTGCACTGAAGTTTTTGGGTCATGATGAGATAATGGCTATACTGTCTTGCCTTAAGTGGTTAAACTATGGCCTCAGACCTTGTATCTCATTCAGTCTACCATTGGCTCCACATTCACAAAACTGAGTGAAAAAGGTTATTTGCTTTTTGTGAATTGCTAAATCATGACAACTAAACTGCATTATACATCTCTAGTGAATAAATCCACTAAGAATTAAGGTCCCATTTTTAAATGTATTTTTTTGTATAACATGCAAGGGTTGAGCTAACCCATACTACAGAATTCTCTGTCTTTGTGTGTGGTTTTTATTTTTACTTATCCTCTTTATTTCAGTCAACAAAGAGGAACATCCCAATGCTCTTTGTCAGAGGAGATGGCGTGGTTCTTGTAGCACCTCCTTTAAGAGTTGGCTGATGCACTGAACAAAGAATTAGAGTGAAACATCAAGATCTTTCTAAATTACAGTGGCTGTAACACATCTGGGCTTAAATGGCCATTAAGTCCTATGTATTTTTTTGGTATCTTTTTGTTTATGGCAGAAGCTGCCTTTGCGTTTTTATTGCAATTTATAAATCAAAGTAAAATGTTATGTGACAGACCATCTCATAAATAACAGAACAATGGTACAGGTTTTACTGTATAAGGATTTACATTTTTTTTGTTTAAAATTAAAGTAAGCATTGGTGCTGAATCTGTGTCCTTTGTCTGTAAAATCATCAAATGATTATAATCTCCAGGAAATCGGTGTATGATGCACTATGAGTCTGGCTGGATTTGTCCAGCACTACAGAGCTTTGTGTTTATCGCTAAAACTATCAGAGCTCAGCAAATCCCATGTCTCAACGGTGTTTGTCAGCCCAAGGGAGCGTGGACCTGGGTGGCGAGGAAGCAGAAACCTTCTTGCTCTTCTCCCTCGCACGTCCTGCTGTAAAGCCTGGAACCAGAACCTGTCTCTCCAGCCCTGGCATCACAAAGCAGTGCGCAGGAGAAGAGCTTGACGATTACACAAAGACCACTGAACCCAGTGAAATGATCCACTCCAGCTCTCCCAAAGGTAGGGAAGCTGGGTAGACTTAAATTTAACAAAAAACAAACAATTGGAGTGTGTGAGAAAATAAGTGTTTGTTTAGGTTACTGCCCCACCTTTCCACTCTCCTCTGATCGCATGGGAAATGTTTTATTTTTGCCATGCCATGCTGGTATTGCAGTGGCTAGCCCACCTCCATGCCTGTGATCATTCTTGATCTCCGAACAAGTCAATGTTTTCCCACAGGAAAGCATTGGGAGGCTATTGTGCATGTGCAACACCAGTCAGCATTTTTTTTTCTTCTCTGAAAAGGCAGTGTTTACATTGAAAAGCCTACATGAGCAGGGTATAATCACCACAACCACTACATTAAGCTGTAGAGGTTCTGGTCAATATAGGGTCTCCTTAAGTATTGTAACTTTTGTAGTTTGAAATTTTTTTGGGGGGGGGGGGGAGAGGCACTCTCATCACACAAATTACTAGAAGGGTATCCAGACTAAATCTCAGTGAAGTTGTCTGGATGTCAGGTCCCTTTTTTAATTTTTTAACCCAACAGCTGAAAACATTGCTGTTCTGCATTTTTTTTTTTTTTTTCCATTACAGACTTGGTGTGACTGTCATACAGAGGCCCCCCCCCCATGCTTTTCTGCGGGAAACCTTGGATTAGCTTGGTTTATCTCCAATTTTGGCTACATTATTGGGGTGTGGTTATCCAGCACATCTTTAGTTCTGGACTGGCTAATACTAATTTTGTGTATATTTCTATGTACAGACGCTCATTCATTGGCGGAGAGTGGATAACTGACACTGTCAGACAATAAATGAATGTCAGAATTGACATCTGGCTTCTGCATAGGCTTTGTCACTGTAACACTTAGAGCACTTTTTTTTTTTTATAAATTAAATCAGTCCCACTCAATTTATAACTACATGAGATTAGCAAGCACTCCAGGACCCATATTGGTCCATGACGTACAGATATTTAAAGAAATGGTCAACTCCAATAATTTTCAACTGTCCTAGCAGCAATAGCGGGGTACTAGAGAACATAATGAGGATGAGTAAGATGTGCCAGATCTGCACTCAGAATGTCAGAGGTATAGGGTAGGTAATTAAGCATGATGAGATGGGAACGCATGCAGTAGGAGTAATATACAGAAAAAGGCCAAACACCCTGAGAGCTACATTTATTTAAAAGTCTCTGTCCCATGGAGCTAAACATAACTAAACGCACTTCTGCAAAATATCTATTTGACTATGAAGGGTGAGGGAGTGATCTTAGTATTGATTTTAATGGTAAATGGTCTCTCGGCAACATAGCAATTTTCCATAATTTCAATGGTTATGGTGCAGAGTTAGTTACATGGTGGCTTATAATTGCAGTGATCTGCAAAAGCCTGTCCTATAGTCTATTAAAAAAAAACGACTTTAGTTATGTTTCATGTACCAGTGCCATTGAATATGCACATGCCAAAAGAATAACTATGGTTGTATTTTGGTCCTCTCATGGAGTGGGCAGGACAGTTATGACTACACACAACTCAGTCAGCAGGATATGCAAAATTCTTAATTTTTTTTTTTTCCATTTAAAATTTTTTAGTGGTGGGGGGGTACAGGAGATATGGGTGGGGATCAATTGTGTACAATAGTATGCAAGGATGACAACTGAGATACAGAAGTATAATGCATATAAATAGGTACAGCAATACAGGGTTAATCCAGTTTGTTGACATGTATCCATGTGAAATGGTACAGAGTCTGTCACCCAGAGAGGTGACAAAGCATAGAAAACAGCATAGGATATATACTATGCTAACAATTATTGTAATGCATGGTTATTTTGTAATTTTATAGTGTTAAGGCTCAGTGTTGCTGTACTCTACAGATACCTAGGTTACACATCTCCACGTGTCCCAGATTAGCCTTGAGGTTTTTGGTGGGTGTGCAGACTTCCAGGATAGAATGGATAATCTGAATTATTAGTTTTTGTTTAGATTTATGGTTAGAGTTGGGTAGGTGTAGTAACAAGTAAGTAATAGGTATAAGTTGCAGAGAGAAATCAGTTACTTCAGTTATGAGTTTGTGCACTCTTCCAGAATGCATAAATAGGTGCACATTACCACCATATGTGGTACATGGAACCTTCTCAGTCCCCACATCTCCAACAGGTCGAGGGGGTTTGTGGGTAGATCTTATGTAGCCTGGTTGGCACCAAGTACCACCTGTAGAGCACTTATGTTGTTGTTTGAGGTGCATGGTGGATTTAATAAGCCCCGTTGGAGCTGAAATCATGTGATCCCATTGTTTAGGCGATAGCGAGCACTGGGGATCCGCCTCGCATTGTTTGGCATATTTAGAAGCCGAAAAGGGTGTGGCGGACCGCCTGGTACCCTGACTAGGTACCTGCACCAATCACGCTTCCTATTATCACGGAGTACTATAAGCACCACACCGGACACCATAAGCACCGTAGTTCCCTTAGCTACCACAGCTTGGCTGGGGTTTCACTGTTCCTTCCCACCTTGGACCAATACCTGGATCCAGCTCCCAGTGGGAAGACCTCTCCTCCAAGAGAGTATAGCAGGTATAGTAATCCAAAGAGCAGTATAGCAATCCCCCCCCCACACGAGTCGAGGCTTTATGCTGGAAAGTAATGTTTTCTTCAGGTCCACGTACTGCCTTTAATGTAAAAGCCCATGCAAGGGTAATTCCTCCCCTGTGCCTGAGAGATAATTGAGTCAGGGACTATACAAAGTCAATTATCTCCAGGCACAGAAAACACATTGTACAGACACCCCAAAAATAACCCCAAAATACATTGAAACCCCACAAAAGTCACATCTCCAGATAGCCCTGATCTGGGTGACCAACATATCCCAAAATCACCCAGATCGGTTCAGGGGTTTTCCATGGAAGTCCCGTTTTTGGCCGACCGCACATGTAGCTTAAGCCCAAAATAGTTCCATAAAATCAGTGCTAGCGGTTGGTCAACTTCGTAAACATAAAACAAAAGAATTACCGAACGTAGTCTATATTTGAACCGTGGAGCTTGTTCCTCTTATCCAGACGAACCATTACACCAAACAGAGCTCTTCTAGGCTATATCGAACGCAGGCGATGATGAAGTCCAGCGATGTTGGGTAGTTTCACTGTCTGATTTTAGTTTTATGAACTAGATGACCAAACACTGCTGCCTGCGTTCATAAGAACAAGTTGGCGCCACCTCGTAGTCTTTCATACGAATTGCTCCCCCCCCATTAAAACATTGCAGTTAGAATCGTTACAAGATGCTAATAGTGCTGAACAAGCACATAGGTGGTCCATGGTTTGTGCATCTTTTCGGTTCCCGAACAGTGTAGGGAAATGGCACGAACAAAGTTCTTTAACAGGGCATATAATCTAAGACTGATTTATAACACATGGAGATCTGTTTACCCTGGATGGGTAACTTTCCAGTAATACATAGCTTTTCCTAGTCAGAGAGAAGGGTCGTAGAGACTCGGTGTTGAACACCCTGCTTTTAATTACGGGACAAATATGACCTCAGTTGTGTATGCGAATATAGTGATGTTTTGGGCAGGCCATATTTGGTAATCTAGTAGTGCGTCCTCCTGAAAGAGGTGATATAGATGTGTGGCCCTCCTATCATGCCAGGGGATAGCGTTAAATGTAGGAATGCAGTATGGTAAGGCCTTAATTGGGGTTGATAAGGAGGCACCTGAAGTGCTACTCAACTTAGTCTTAAATTTATCCCATACTCCTAAGAGTAGTTGGATTTGGGCAGGAAGATAGTGCAATAAGGGTCTATGTTGTTTGCGCAACCACAACAAATGGGTGAGATCATGGGGTTTAAGAAGGGATTTTTCCAAAAGTACCCATTGTGGGTGGGGGGGCTTCAACAATATTGGGTTTGCTGCAGTTAATATAGTTGCGTAATAGTAAGTACACTAGGTAAGGCCAATACACCTCTCATTAGGGGAGCTTGTAGTAGTTTCGTTCTTGCTCAAGGCTTTTTCCACCTTTCCATATGAATCTAAGAAATAAATGTGTGAAATAAATATATTAGTCTGGGGAGGATAGACTTTTTAAATTCCACAATGCGATCCGTCCAAGAGAGGAACAAAGATGACCACTTCCGTAGCAGCTGGTGACATGCATTCCAGGCCTTGATATAATTAGCTGAGTATAAGGCCATGGATTTTTGGTGATAGAAAACCCTAAATACTTAATGTGATCCGATCTCCAGTCAAAATGGTAGGTACGTATCAGGATATTTAAACGCGTGGAGGGAATACCAATAGCTATGGCTTGGGTTTTTGCAGCATTAAAGGACCACTATAGGCACCCAGACCACTTCAGCTTAATGAAGTGGTCTGGGTGCCATGTCCAGCTAGGATTAACCCTTTCTTCTATAAACATAGCAGTTTCAGATAAACTGCTATGTTTATAATAGGGTTAATCCAGCCTCTAGTGGCTGTCTCATTGATTTTCACAATGAGAAAACGCCAGCGTCCATAGGAAAGATTGGAGAATGCTATGTAGTATGTTTTCCTGGCACTATAGTGGTCCTTTAAGAGAGTAGTACGAGACCTGTCCATATTCTTCTGTCACTTGGAGAACAGAAGGCAGAAGGCAGCAAACGCGCTAATCCGTATCTGATGATTATTGAAACCCAGGGGGTAGTGGTAGCGGTCATCTTCATTGGTAAAATGTAAAACTTTACAGTCCTTGCCGTATGCGTGACATATATAGGACAAGAGAAAAGCTTACATGGTGATGGTTGTCACCAGTGGCGGCTCTAGACTTTGTGAGGCCTTAGACCAGGGGTTCCCAATTCATTTTTCCGGTGAAACCCTTTGACATAGTGTATCAACATCGTGGAACCCCCCTCCCACCTGCAGCTCCCTCGCCGCCCACCTCAGTTGTTGCGGTGGCCATTTTGTTCACTGAAATTTGGCAGACCCCATTTGTGTTCTCGTGGAACACAAATTAGGAATCGCTGTCTTAGACGAAACTATAACATGAGACCCCCACTAACACCCAAAGTAAAAAAGAAAATAAGGGTTGCATTGTGTGTATAAGGTGCTGTAGTTTTATTGAAGGACAAGCTTGCAGCGCTGGATACAGAGAGCTAGTTTATGTATTAATTGTTCAGGGGCTTGCAGTGTCGTGGCTCCTTGTTCCACTTCACTGTGAGCTCTCTGATTGTATAATTTGCAAACTAAATTAATTTGCAATAAACAACTTTAATTAGCAATTATGCTAATCGTTTAAACACGACTGTGTGGTATGGTTACATAGCTCTGCATTCGTGTATACATAAGTGCAGGTGTGTGTATTTCTGAGTATATCTGGCATTGTCTACCTGTGTGTTACATGTGAGTGTCATACAGTTGGAGGACAGGATTGGAAGGGTTTATGTGGTAGGGTGAGTGTGACAGTGCAAAGAAGGTGAGTCTGACAGGATTGGGGGAGTTAATGTGATAGGGTAAGTGTGGCAAAGCAAGGGCAGGTGAATTTGGTATGGTTGGAGCGGGTGAGAGTGGCAAGCTTAGGAGTAGTTAATGTAGGTTTGGCTGGGTGAAAGGGGTGACAGTGTTTGGGGACTGAAAGTGTTTGGGAATCATGACAGTGTGTGTGTGGGGGTGACAGTGTGTGTAGGGATGATAGGGTATGGGTGGGAGATGACAAGTTGTGCCGAGGAAGGCTGTGACAGTGTGTGTGTGTGTGTGTGTGTGTGGGGGGGGCTATGACAAGGTAGGGGGCTCAAATAAGGTGGGGGAGCTGTTACAGGCAGTGGCGTCGCTAGGGGGGGGCCAGAGGGGGCCATGCCCCCCCCTACATCATGCTGTGCCCCCCAAAAGCCAGCAACTTGCTGGCCATGTGTCTAAATTATATTCCTTCGGACTGTAACAGTGTGTGACAACCCAAGGGAATGCAGGACAGAGCAGCTAGAACAGTGCTGGGTGTTTTCACCAGCTTCCCCGGCACTAAATTAAGCCCGCCTCCCACACACATAAGCCCCACCCCCGCCGTTAAGCAGCAGACCATGCTGCTACTGGGAAGTTAAGAAGATGGCTGTCTGACCCCCAGCAACAGGCTCCAGTGACAGGTAGGCTTGATATGCTCAGGTGTGTGTGTGTGTCTGCTAGTAAGGAAGCTTGTGTGTGTGTGTGTGGACTCAGCGGTCTGTATGTGTGTATGGACTCAGCAGTGTGTGTATGGATTCAGCAGTCTGTGTGTGTGTATGGACATAGCAGTCTGTGTGTGTGTATATGGACTCAGTGTGTGTATGGACTCAGCAGTGTGTGTATGGACTCAGCAGTCTGTATGTGTGTATGGACTCAGCAGTCTGTGTGTGTGTATGGACTCTGCAGTCTGTGTGTGTGTATGGACTCAGCAGTGTGTGTATGGACTCAGCAGTCTGTGTGTGTGTGTGTGTGTGTGTGTGTATGGACTCTGCGGTCTGTATGTGTGTATGGACTCCAGTGTGTGTATGGACTCAGCAGTCTGTGTGTGTGTGTATGGACTCTGCGGTCTGTGTGTGTGTGTGTGTGTGTATGGACTCTGCAGTCTGTGTGTGTGTATGGACTCAGCAGTCTGTATTTGTTTGTGTGTGTGTGTATGGACTCAGCAGTCTGTGTGTGTCTGTGTATGGACTCAGCTTGGTCTGTGTGTGTGTGTGTATGGACTCAGCAGTGTGTGTGTGTATGGACTCAGCAGTCTGTATTTGTGCATGGACTCAGCAGTCTGTGTGTGTGTATGGACTCAGCAGTCTGTGTGTGTATGGATTCAGCAGTCTGTGTGTGTGTGTGTGTGTATGGACTCAACAGTCTGTGTGTGTATGTGCATGGACTCAGCAGTCTATGTGTCTGTGTTTGTATGGACTCAGCAGTCTCTCTGTGTGTGTGTGTGTGTGTGTGTGGATTCAGCAGTCTGTGTATGTGTGTGTATGGACTCAGCAGTCTGTGTGTGTGTGTGTGTATATGGACTCAGCAGTCTGTGTGTGTGTGTGTGTATGTGTGTATGGACTCAGCAGTCTGTGTGTGTATGGACTCAGCAGTCTGTGTGTGTGTATGGACTCAGCAGTGTGTGTGTATGGACTCAACAGTCTGTGTGTGTACGTGTATGGACTCAGCAGTCTGTGTGTGTACGTGTATGGACTCAGCAGTCTATGTGTCTGTGTTTGTATGGACTCAGCAGTCTGTGTGTGTGTAAGGACTCAGCAGTCTCTGTGTGTGTGTGTGTGTGTGTGGATTCAGCAGTCTGTGTATGTGTGTGTATGGACTCAGCAGTCTATGTGTCTGTGTTTGTATGGACTCAGCAGTCTGTGTGTGTGTAAGGACTCAGCAGTCTATGTGTGTGTGTGTGTAAGGACTCAGCAGTCTATGTGTGTGTGTGTGTGTGTGTGTGTGTGTGTATGGATTCAGCAGTCTGTGTGTGTGTGTGTATGGACTCAGCAGTCTGTGTGAGTGTGTGTGTGTGTGTATGGACTCAGCAGTCTGTATGTGTGTATGGACTCAGCAGTGTGTGTGTATGGATTCAGCAGTCTGTATATGTGTATGGACTCAGCAGTCTGTGTGTGTATGGACTCAGCAGTCTGTATGTCTGTATGTGTGTATGGACTCCGCAGTGTGTGTGTATGGACTCAGGAGTCTGTGTTTGTGTCTGTGTGTGTATAGACTCAGCAGTCTGTGTGTGTGTGTGTGTGTGTATGAACTCAGCAGTCTGTGTGTATTGACTCAGAAGTCTGTGTGTGTGTGTGTGTATGTGTGGACTCAGCAGTCTATGTGTCTGTGTTTGTATGGACACAGCAGTCTGTGTGTCTATGTGTGTGTGTATGGACTCAGCAGTCTGTGTGTCTATGTGTGTGTGTATGGACTTAGCAGTCTGTGTGTGTGTGTGTGTGTGTGTATGGACTTAGCAGTCTGTGTGTGTGTGTATGGACTCAGCAGTCTCTGTGTGTGTAAGGACTCAGCAGTCTCTGTGTGTGTAAGGACTCAGCAGTCTGTGTGTGTGTGTGTATAGACTGTATCAAGGGAAATGTGTTTGTTTTTTAATAATCCTTGGTGGAATGTAATGAATTCTGCACCAGAGATTATTAAAAAAAACACATGGTGTCGGGGGCGGGGCTTAACATGCGGCAGGGGCGGGGTCAAACTGCGGTGAGGGCGGCGTTAAATGTGGCCCCCTTCTTTTGTCCCTGGCCCACCATGTGTCCCCCCTAAAAATGAATCCTAGAGACGCCACTGGTGAAGAAGCCCAAGTGGAGAGGGAGCTATGAATGTGCAGCATAGATCCGATCCTTATGGGAACCATAAGGTTCGTGAATGTAAGCTTGAACCTTTTTTTTCGAAAGTATAACATACTCTAAAGTATAGTCTGTACTTTTGGGCCTGTCAGGGAAAGTGAAAGCACTCTAGGGTGTTAAAACCACTATCCAGCCCCCTTTGCCTCCCTAAAGATAGTAAAATCTTACTTGTATTCAAGTCTGAAGCTGCTGCCTCTGCCTGTGAACTTCCTCTGACCTTTAACATCATCAGACGTGGTGGCCTGATCCAATCACAATGCTTCCCCATAGGATTGGCTAAGATTGACAAGGAGGCAGATACGGGGCAGAGCCAGCACAATTCAAACACAGCCCTGGCCAATCAGCATCTCCTTATAGAGATGAATTGAATCAATGAATCTCTATGAGGAAAGTTCAGTGTCTGCATGCAGAGGAAGGAGATACTGAATGTTTGGATGCATTTTAGGCAGCCATGACCCAGGAAGGATCTCTAACAGCCATCTGAGGAGTGGCCAGTGAAGTTATCACTAGGCTGTAATGTAAACACTGCATTTTCTCTGAAAAGCCAGTGTTTACAACAAAAAGCCTGAAGGGAATGATTCTACCCACCAGAACAAATTCAATAAGCTGTAGTTGTTCTGGTAACTATAGTGTCCCTTTAACTTTTGTTGCGTATATGTAAAACATTATGCAGAATGGGCAGAGTCTAGATCCAACCGTATTTAACTTTTGTATATAAGCATATTGAGTTCCTTATGGGCAGGTTGATCTTAAAAAGGGTTGGAGATATGCCCTGTATTAGAACATATTAATACTTTGCGAACCTTAGATGAGTTTGAGGTAATAACATAATGTGAACACTATGAAATGAGAAATAAAATTCAACAAGTAATCACTGTAGTATCTGGAGAGGCCTTCCTCAGTGGTTGTGACTGAATGGATTGCTCCTTGTCGCAGTGTGAGAAGCTTTGCTGGATATCCCCATTGGTAGGAAATTTCCTTCGCTCGGAGTGTAGAGGTGAGTAAGGGATAAGACCTTGCGAAACTGCAGTGTGCTTGCCGATAAATCAGTGAAGACCTTTATATTCCCACACGGCTCTGGGAGAGCACTATTTCTGCAGGCCTTGGCTATGCCTTCCTTCACATGGAAAAAGTGGATGCGGGTAATAACATCCCTTGTCACTGTGGAGGACAGTTGCTTAGGCCGTCTGAGTCGGTGGGCCCTATCCACTATGAGCTGTTCTGGGTGGATTTCTGGGGTCAGAGCTTGGAAGAGGTCCAGTAGGTAATTAGGTAGGTCCTCTGGAATCTCCCTTATGTGGAGGTTGTTTCTCCATAAGTGGTCCTCCAGATCAGCAAGTCAAATTTTGTGCTTCTAAGACTTCATCCATTTCCTGAAGCTTATCTGCTAAGCTATTATGAGCTACTGCAAACTCATCCATCTCCTTTTCTACATGAGCAGTCCTCTGTCCCAGTTCCTGCATTTCTTTGTGCAGTTCTGTTGCCAGTGTTTGCAATTGGATGGTGTTGGTAGCTTGTATTGTGGTAGAGAGCTCTGCCATCACTGCTTTCATGTTGGAAGTGGTCAGGGGTCCCTTCTCTGTGTAAGAGCTTGGGGAGGGAGAGGGATCTAGGAAAAAGGATGCTCAGTCTGCTGTTGCCGCTTTGGATTTTAGCCTTTGAGACATGATAAATGTATATGTGGTCCCAGTGATCCGAAATGCTTGGTGCTCCGATTATTTTTTGCTCAGCTTTGCACGGGCTGCAGGAGCTTCATATAAGTGCGTTCTCTCGGCTTGAGCTCTTAGCCACGCCCCTATTTTATCATTTTTAATACATTAAACATAGGATTGAGTTCCTGCCTTTTGTACTACTTTAAGATATTTTCTTGTAGTGTAATGTTACCATTATCCAGCAGCTTCAGCAAACTCCAGTGGCCTGCTTAACAAAAACAGCTAAAAATTAGCTTGAACGAGAACCGGTGAGTACCTGCTAAGACCCCACTACCCAGGGTCCGGTCCTGGGACAAGCCAAGCTGTGGCAGAGAAGCCAGTGCCACACCAAGCCAACGCAAGCAGCATTAAAAGCGAGCAGCGGAGGTCGGCACCTGCAAACTACCAACCAAGCATACCCAGGTATACAACTCACAGAGTGAGACAACGCTCCAGCGTCTTAGCCTTACCTGCCGTACCACCCAGATCACCGTGTGAGGGCCGAAATACATGGACTGACTACCTGCAGCTGCGGTGTTGCACCTGAAGAACAGCAAGGCTACTGGGATCTAACTCCTGCCCAAGGCAGGCATTCGACTGAAACGCAAGTTAACCAAATAGGGACTCTCACTCTCACACTGAACTGGACTACAGCTATTACAGCAGTTTCCAGGCTTTTGTCCCTCTTTAATATTTTATTTAGGCGGGTCTTGTGGTATACAGCCATTGATCATCATCTTGCTGGCATGGGGTTCACCTGGGGTGGAAAAACTTAAAGTGCATTTTCATCTGTTTGATGCTTACTTTTATTTTTGTCTCCAAACTACCAAGAATCTAGTTTAAGTCTTGCACGTAAAGCAAATGCTTATTCTTTGCCTAGTCAGACAAGAGATATGTTTAACCTCCTCCCTAATCAGCCCAGCATGTACTTAATTGTATATTCTTGTTCACATCTTTCACACAGTCAGTCAGCATAGACAGATATCTATAATATGCCGCTTTGTCTCTCCGCTGACTACTTTTCCTTTTCATGTAATTGTGCAAGCGCAGTCTATCCACACTACCCTAAACATAACATCTCGTGCTGTTCTCTCGTAAAGATGCATAATATTATCTCTAACTGTTCTCGTTATTATTCTATATGTATCATTGCATGCTCTACAAATCCCTGCATTTGCCATTGGGGCAATGTGGGATGCATTGTATTCTCATGCACGACCAAAAATAATGAATTTTTAAAAAAAAGCCTAGTATAGGAATCGATAATGTACAATGTTTTCTATTAGTATGCATTTTAAAACGGTTTGTATTATGCACATCTACCAGACATGCAATATGCAATAAACATTCGTATTATAAAAAAATAAAAAAAAAAATAAAAAAAATTATTATCCCCCTAGATATGTAACATTACATCACCTATAGATAATTTGAGACTTGCCGAGGTGAGACAGAGTTGTGGACAATCAAAATAGAGGTTTTGTCTCACGGTTACATTAATTAATGTAACTATTAGAACTGACTGGTCTGCTTTTTGGACAGTATTAGTTTTCTGAATTTTATGGATTGAAATTGCAGAGTATACTTCAAATGTTGGGTCAGAATTGTCAAGCAAGAAAAAAGCTGATTTGTAGAATTTACTGATTTTCATTTGTTTAACCTGGGATTTGCAATTTTCTTATTAATACTCAGCAATTTACGGTTTAGTGAATAAACCATCTTGACTTTTTTTTTTACTACTGTTTACAGGCACCAGAGGGAGCTGTCTCTATCTGTTTTCCATAATGGATTAACATATGAATTGACAGTGTTATTTATTAAAGTGAGAGATGTCAGGAAGGGGTCTATGTATCAACGTCGGAAAGTCAAAATTCAGGGATAGTTTACACTATTTAACAATGTCCAGATTTTGCAGTGCATGCTTTGAATGAGTCTGAATTTGGATGATTAAAATGAAGTCCCGGTTTTTAAAAGGGTTAACTAGAAAATATATAAAACATTAAAAAAAGCCTATGGAGGTCAATATGATCCCCATATCAGTATAAGGGAAATGAGAAACTGTCCTTTTACCCCCAATTGCTGTGCTTTGAGTGGGGGCATATCTACTAAACAGCCACCAACAGCTGCTCGCTGTAATTAAATTTAGTGAATAGAAACATAGTGTTTCAACTTATAAAATTACAGGCAGGTGGTTATGTTAATAAAATATAGAAGGGTGTGGACATGCTATTAACACCCTCCCAAGCATTGGGTCTAGTTTAACCCTCGGGTGGCTTGTAGTCCCCAAACTCTTAGCCACCCTAAAAAAATATATATCCTTCGGATCATCTAATAAATCTAAAAACCGTTAAAATTTATATATATATATATATATATATATATATATATACACACATATACACTTACTATCAGATGTCTTCTTTATAAATCTTTCTTTAGCAACAGGGGAAGGCAGAATATTTTTATTGGGGATGGCTAGGAGCTTGGGATCCATATCCACCCATGGAAAGGATTTAAACTGGACACAACTTTGGTATGTTTGTCCCCACTCACCATCTGAGTTGGGGCTGGAGGAGGACATTAAGATCCCCCCAGTTATTATTATTAGATCACAACATCCATTACCAATTGGTGGAGGCTGGGAGGAACACAATGTCCCTCTGGTTATTATTATAATTAGAACCTACCCCTGCCTCTAATAGGCGGTGTGTGGGGGAGGCACTGTCCCCCTGGCTATTATTATACTTAGAGCCCACACCTGGTGCCTATGGGTGAGGGCAGGGGACCCTAGGATTTCCTCTAGTTTTTTATTTTTTATTTAATAGATGCCACCCACTAACTATGGGTGGAGGCATGTGATTTGCCCAACCCCCACTAATACATTTTAAACCCTCACCTGTTGCCCCCTCTGTATTTTATTAGTTCTATATGATAGTGAGCAGCCACTGCCTGCTCACTGTTAAGTAGATATGCCACCATACACGGCATGGGAAGTTGGGGCATAATGGGGGTTTAAAATCTAGCTTATAATAATATGGTTGTAATATTGACCTTCATGAAAAGGGAGAAAAAAAGGAAGGAGAAAAAATTGGGTTGGAAGTGGTCAAGGGAAAGATGGGTAGAGGTGGGGTTGTAAAGGTGGTTAACCAAAAGGGTTGGGGGAAATCCTCTACCCATCGCCGTTACGCAGGCAGTGGGAATTCAAACATCCAGGGATCCCATATTTTGTAGTTGTAACGAAATCCCTTATTGAACAGACCAAGTGAACCAGCCTGTTTGGTTATTTGGATGGGTACAGAGTGATTTCGTGCAAATAGCGAGAAAAACGAATGAACTACCGAACCACCCGACCTCCCACTGAGGTCGTGTGGCGCCTATTAACCACCCAGACTTTGTGGTTAACCACAGACTAATTGGGGAATAGCTGGTGGTCCGCGTTCGTCTACCGAACACGTGGCAATCGCCGTTTTGGATTGTCAACCGCTCAGCGGTAAATGGCGACGATACCCTGGAACTAATTTCGGCTACTTATTTTGCCGAACACCGCTGCTACCTCTTCAGGTCCTCGTTCATACGGTGGAAAACCCATGAATGCCGGAGATACCACACCATTCGTGCGTTGGATGTATGCGAAAGTGACCGACCCCAGATAGCTACAGTATGGAACTTGTTGTCGGATACAAACACGCAAACGACCGGTGAAAACCAAACTTCGGTCAACATTTTTGAGAACTGTGTTTGTGGGATCTGAGCGCTATTCGCCTAGAATATGCACTCAGATCCAAGCTATCTGGGGATATGTGGGGACTTAAAGGACCACTATAGTGGCAGGAAAACATACTCGTTTTCCTGGCACTATAGTGCCCTGAGGGTGCCCCCACCCTCAGGGTCCCCCTCCCGCCCGGCTCTGGAAGGGGGAAAGGGGTAATAACTTACCTTTTTCCAGCGCTGGGCGGAGAGCTCTCTGCCTCCTCTCCGCCTCCGATCCGCCCCGCCGGCTGAATGCGCACGCGCGGCAAGAGCTGCGCGCGCATTCAGCCCGTCGCATAGGAAAGCATTTACAATGCTTTCCTATGGACGCTTGCGTGCTCTCACTGGGAAAATAAGAGATTTTGTTAGCTCGGTATGCTGTAACGCCTGAAGCCCACAGAAGGAAATTCCAGGCCCTCAGGAGACAAGGCAAGGATTCATATACCGAGTGGGCATTTCGGATGCAACGTGCTGCAAGTAACTGGATGCAGGGGAATCAGGCAACTACCTTGGAGGATGCTGTGCAATTAATACTACTGGAGCAGTTTTTTGATTACACACCAGCGGAGGTTAGAGATTGGGTCAGAGATAGAAAGCCACAGACGGTAGAGGAGGCAGCGAGGTTAGCAGATGAATTCCATGAGAGCAGAAGGCTGGATGGAAATCGAGGGTTCTCTGGACCGCGACCCTCCTCGGGTCCTCCACCTACGCCACAGAGGGTAACCCCACAGGGGGGCAATACCACAACCCCGGGGTATCAAAAGACCGCTCCAATGTGTTATGGGTGCAAGCAAGTGGAGCACATCAAACCTAATTGCCCACAACGTACTGCAGACCGCTGGGGGCGGACACCAGTACCCCCGACCAAAGCAGCCGCACACTGTGTGCAAGAGGATTACGACTCTCTGACTCCAGGGGCACCCAGTAACATCAGTGAAAATTGGGCCACCTTACATGAGGTGAACCCCGTGCAAGCGGCTGGGGATAACAGGGCGCACCACCGCCAGTCAGTAAAACTAAATGGACAAGAGGCTAGGGGACTAAGAGACAGCGGGGCTACTATTACCTTGGTCCAGCCACACCGGGTCACCCCGGCCCAGCACACAGGACGCACCATTGCTGTAAGGGTGGCCGGAGGGGCAATTCATAAACTGCCAACAGCTCGAGTACACATTGATTGGGGTACGGGGGCCAAGGCTGTGGAAGTGGGCATCATGCCAGATTTGCTTGCGGAAGTATTGCTGGGGAATGATTTAGGATGCTTGACGTCCCAATTGGCAGCCTGCAGTCCAGAAGGAGCACTACCTGTTACCACCCGTCAACAATCCAGAGCTATGGAGGCCTCCCCCTCAACCCATGACCAGGTAAGCAATAACCCCCTGACAATTCACCCTGACCATACTTCTTACTGGGGTACCCCTCAAGACTTTGAGCAAGCTCAGCGGGAAGATCCCACATTAAAGGGGTATCGGAGGGAGGCAGAACAACCCCAGGGAGACGGAGATCAGGCAAGGTTTATCTGGGAAAATGGTTTACTATACCGGGTGACCGGGGGGACAGGGAAGGGAGCCAGTCAGGTAGAAAAAATACAATTAATAGTGCCCCGTAAGTATCGGGTAGAACTATTACGGATTAGCCATGATATCCCCCTAGCAGGTCACTTAGGCATTAAAAAGACTAGAGACCGACTCACCCAGTAATTTTTCTGGCCGGGGGTCACTAGAGATTTGCAGGATTATTGTAGGACCTGCGAGGTATGCCAAAGGGTAGGAAAGAGAGGGGATCACCCCATTGCAAAACTATGTTCTCTACCCATCATTGAGGAACCATTTTTCCGAGTGGCAGTTGATTTAGTCGGGCCACTCAGCAAACCCAGTCCATCCGGTAAGAAATACATTCTTACCATGGTGGACTACGCTACCCGCTACCCCGAGGCAATAGCTCTGTCAAATATACATGCCGAGACGGTAGCGGAAGCACTAGTGCAGGTGTTCACTAGGGTAGGGTTTCCTAGGGAGATAGTGTCTGATCAAGGAACCCAATTCACCGCGGTGGTTACCCAACAGCTCTGGCAGAGCTGTGGGGTAAAACCCATATTAAGTTCTCCATATCATCCCCAAACCAATGGCCTCTGTGAGCGTTTTAACGCCACCCTTAAACAAATGCTCATCACGTTCACAGAGACCTGTCGGAATTGGGAAAAGTTCCTTCCCCATTTACTCTTTGCCTATAGGGAAGTTCCCCAGGAGTCCACCGGATTCTCCCCGTTTGAACTACTATACAGGAGACGAGTCCGGGGACCCCTGGACCTAGTACGGGAACATTGGGAAGGCGATATGGAACACACAGGTACCCCTATAGTCACGTTTGTACTAGAGTTGAGGGACCGTCTGCAGGCTCTGACCGAAACGGTTCGGGAGAACCTGCAGACAGCCCAACAACGGCAGAAGTACTGGTATGATAAGGGAGCTAGAGACCGTATATTGGAAGTAGGACAAAAGGTCCTAGTACTCAAGCCCATTAAGACCGATAAGTTACAAGCATCCTGGCAAGGCCCCTACACTGTGATAGAGCGGATCAGTGATACCACGTACATTGTGGCAGAGTGTTCGGACGGAAGGATCCGTTGATCCTTCCATGTAAATATGCTCAAGCCATATCACGAGAGAACAGAGGAGGTCTCTGCGGTATGCGTTCCAGCATATGAGGATAGCGAGAGTATTCCGTTACCGGATATGCTCCCTCAGGGACCGACAGGGGTAGAACAAGTACAGTTGGGCCCCGAATTAAGTCCAGAAGAGCAAGCTCAGGCTTCACAATTGTTGGGGGGGTTCGGGGGCATGTTTTCAGCAGGCCCAGGGTACACGACCCTGGCAGCCCACAGAGTGGAGACCCCAGGCCAGTTACCTCTGCGGCAGCAGCCTTACCGAATCCCCGAAGCAGTACGGGAAAGCATGTTAAAAGAAATCCAGGACATGTTAGAACTGGGGGTAATAGAGCCGTCTCAAAGCCTGTGGGCTTCTCCAGTGGTGTTAGTTCCTAAAAAGGACAGTACAACCCGGTTCTGCGTGGACTACCGCAAGCTAAATGATAGGACAGTCACAGACGCATACCCCATGCCCCGAGTGGACGAGCTGCTTGACCGCATGGCTGGGGGGAATTATTTGACCACTATTGATTTGTGTAAGGGATATTGGCAAATCCCCTTGGAGCCTGAGGCCATCCCAAAATCGGCATTTGTCACCCCATTTGGCCTATACCAGTTTAAGGTTATGCCATTTGGGATGAAGAATGCCCCCGCTACGTTCCAAAGGATGGCTGACCGGCTCCTAGAGGGATTTCAGGGCTTTGCTTGTGCTTACCTGGACGATATAGCTATTTTCAGTGGCACTTGGGATGCCCACCTGGAACACATCTCAGTAGTGCTCACTCGAATCCAGAATGCAGGGCTCACTTTGAAGCCTAAGAAATGCCACGTAGGCATGGCTGAAGTCCAGTACTTAGGACACAGAGTAGGGTAAGGGAAGCAGAGGCCAGAACCAGCCAAAATTGAGGCCATCACGCAGTGGCCCCAACCCCGGACTAAAACTCAGGTCATGGCTTTTTTAGGCACGGCTGGCTACTATAGGAAATTTGTAGCAGAGTACAGTGCCCTAGCTAAACCCCTGACGGACCTCACCAAAAAATCCCTACCCCGACAAGTAACCTGGTCCCCTGAGTGTGAGGAGGCTTTCCAGAAACTCAAAGCTGCATTAAGTGCATCTCCTGTGTTGGCGGCACCTGATCATACTAAAAGGCTTCTCGTCCACACAGATGCCTCCATGTTTGGACTGGGAGCAGTACTAAGCCAGGTGGGAGACGATGGCATGGACCACCCGGTGGCGTATCTGAGCAAAAAACTGTTACCACGCGAAGTCAGCTATGCCACCATGGAAAAAGAGTGTCTGGCATTAGTTTGGGCACTTAAAAAGCTACAACCATACCTGTATGGACGCTCTTTCACAGTGCTGACTGACCACAACCCTTTGATTTGGCTTAACAGAGTAGCTGGCGATAACCCCAGACTACTCAGATGGAGCTTGGCACTGCAACCCTATAATTTTACAATGCAGTATCGCCCCGGGAAGCAGAATGCCAATGCAGATGGCCTGTTGCGGCAAACTGAACTGGAAAAGTAATTATTTTGTTTCTTGCCGGACATCCCTTAGCCGACCCGTTAGAATCTAAGCAGGTATGCCGTTCCATGGGACTAAGGGGGAGCTGTGTAACGAAATCCCTTATTGAACAGACCATGCGAACCAGCCTGTTTGGTTATTTGGATGGGTACAGAGTGATTTCGTGCAAATAGCGAGAAAAACGAATGAACTACCGAACCACCCGACCTCCCACTGAGGTCGTGTGGCGCCTATTAACCACCCAGACTTTGTGGTTAACCACAGACTAATTGGGGAATAGCTGGTGGTCCGCGTTCGTCTACCGAACACGTGGCAATCGCCGATTTGGATTGTCGACCGCTCAGCGGTAAATGGCGATGATACCCTGGAACTAATTTCGGCTACTTATTTTGCCGAACACCGCTGCTACCTCTTCAGGTCCTCGTTAATACGCCTAGAATATGCACTCAGATCCAAGCTATCTAGGGATTTGTGGGGACTTAAAGTTTATGTTCGGTAAAAAGTGAGTTATAGATTTTTATGCTGTTTTACTAAAATAAGAAAAGCCATGTTTCTTTCTACCTGGAGATAATTAAGGCTCTCTTTACTCCCTTAAGTTAATTATCTCCAGGATGGAAAAGAGGGAGTGATTTATGTAAAAGGGGAGTGCTTATGTTATAGCCACTGTGATTGGCAACTGTATTTCTTTTGCCCCAGTCTTCCATCTGGTCCCCTAGGGGAGTGTCCACCAGGTGGGAGACCTGCATAAATACCGGGCAGGTAGCCCACAGTAAATCAGATCGTTTTACCCCTTCATGAAGTCTCGACTCATGTTTGGGGGATTGGGAGTTATAATCACTTTGTTTCAGCTGGATTTCGGGAGAAGCTGCAAGGATCATCGCTGCACGAATAGAAGGATCCTTTACAGTAGTAATGTTTTGTGGGATCATGAATCAGGGTGGACAAGTAATCTATTTTCCTAGCTTCCTCAATTTTCCTTTTAACCGTGTCACAGGCGGGGAAGCCCCACTTTTTGACTATTGCCAATCTAGTGGCCAATGCTAGTCAAGCTATACATTTGTTTTGTGCTCTGGAGGTGTCTTTGTTTGGTTTAGAAAGGAGCCAAATTCATGAGGGGGCTCAGGTATCACCTCATATTTAGTGATGTCCCGAACGGTTCGCTGTGGACGGCGAACATATGCGCTGTTCGGTCCGCCCCCTATGTCATCATTGAGTAAACTTTGACCCTGTACCTCACAGTCAGCAGACACATTCCAGCCAATCAGCAGCAGACCCTCCCACCTCCTGGACAGCATCCATCCATTGTGAAGCTGCATTCTTAGTGAGCTGTCCAGGAGGTGGGAGGGTCTGGGAGGGAGAGTCTGCTGCTGAATGGCTGGAATGTGTCTGCTGACTGTGAGGTACAAGGTCAAAGTTTACTCAATGATGACGAATAGTGTGTGGACCGAACAGCGCATATGTTCGCCATCCGTGGCGAACCGTTCGGGACATCACTACTCATATTACAACTGTATACAAAGAGGGATTAATCCTTTGTAGAAATGCATTATATAAATGGCCAGTAGTTTAAAATTGACTGTGTGTAGTAAGAGAAACATATGAGCAGTCTATTTGGATATGAGTTCAATGTAATTGAATATAAATTAGGAAATACAAATGATACTAAAAATGGAATATAAATATATATATATAGACAAATCTAAAAGTGGACATATAAGCAATACAGATGTGTACCTAAGTAGTGACAGTGACCCATATTGGATCTAATAGCATAAATACTGGAATACTGTGCAATAGCTGAATCTGATTGTAAGAAAAGTATACCGAGCATAGTACTGAATGAGGAATATGATAGGAGGAGGTTTGTAAAGTGGACGGGAGACTGATTATAATAAGATAACTGAAATGGGGGGGGGGAGAAAAAAAATATATAAGGAAAAAAAATATATATATATATAAGAAAAAATATATATATATGCAAACATAAATATTGAAACATTGGTTATAGAACGACAATAAAAAAATCTGCAACATTATAAAAAATTATTAAAAAATTAAATAGGTTGAATAGGTTTAGGGTGTAAGGTGTCCAAATGGTACACCCATTTCATCTCTGTCTTCCCAATCTGTTTTACAATGTCTCCTCCTCTCTTTTTTTTTTTAATATATATATCCAGATCGAGGTAAGTCACCATGGTGGTTGCTTACATAAAAAGATACAAACCAAGACACATTTTAAAGAAGTCCATATGAACAATTATATAAACACAGATAGCTGTCACAATAAAGCATTGCTGAGCAGCATACAAAAGAGTCAAATGTTAAGACTGAGGAGAAATTGTTCAGAAACTCAAATTTTCACAAAACAAGCAAACAATTTAAAAGAAATATTCATCCAAAAAGGTTATAAAACTACAATCGTAGAAAATACCATTAAACAAACATTAACGTTAAACAGAGAAGAATTGATACAGAAAGAAAAAACAAATAAAAAACAGGATTTTACTTTACCCATTGTGATAGATTTTAACAATAAGAACAAGCAACGCAGAAAGATTTTAAATAAACATTGGCATATGTTAAAAAGAAGATGATGTATTAGGAAATATCATTCCAGATAGGCCAAGAGTAATATTTAGAGGCGCTTCTAATTTAAAGATTCATTTAACGAAAAATTACACTAGAACAAGCCTAAAACAACCTGACAATTTTATGATAAATTAGAAAGGCTTTTCTAAATGTAATTGTTGTATAGCATGCAGAAAGACCAAATTAACATCCAAAGTAACTACTGTTTTTAAATCCAACAATACAGGGAACTCATATATCAAAGACATTATTACCTGCAACAGTAAGAATGTCATTTATTTATTGGAATGCCCCTCTGGCCTCCAATACATTGGTAGAACCATCAGACCACTAAAAGTGAGAATAGTGGAGCATTGTAGAAATATAGAAAAGGGTTTCATCAAACACTCTGTTTCATCACGTTATCATCATGGGTGACTTTAATCTACCTGATGTAAACTGGAAATCCAAAATAGCACACATGTTCTAAACTCCCTATTGGGATTGTCTCTAAAACAACTCGTTGAGGAACCAACTCGTTAGGAGGCCATACTAGATTTAGTGTTAACAAATGGAGATTTGGTATCAGATATTACTGTAGGTGAAAGTTTAGGATCCAGTGATCATCAGTCAGTGTGGTTTAATATAAGAACAGTGACTGAGTCACACCACACAAAAACAAACGTTTTAGACTTTGGAAAAACAGACTTTTCTAAAATTAGAATATGCGTAAAGGAGTCCTTGTCAGACTGGAGCAGTTTAAATGGAGTCCAGGAGAAATGGGATTATTTAAAAGTTGCACTGCTGAAGGCAACAGAAAATTGCATTAGGCTTGTCAGTAAAAGCAAAAAATTAAGAAACCACTGTAATACTCCGCAGATGTGGCCAAAATAATAAAAAACTAAAAGTTAGTATTTAGTAATTATAAAAAAAACAGAGTGAGGAAGACAGACAGATTTACAAGTTTAGGCAGAAAGAGGCTAAATTGCCTCAATGAATATTTTTGTTCAGTATTTACAGAGGAAAATTAAGGAAAGAGGCCTCAGTTAGGAAAAAGGAGTTTACAGAGGAAGAGGTTCTATTTCAACTGTCAAATGTAAAGACAAATAAGTCAATGGGGCCTGATGCGAAACACCCAAAGCTATTAAAAGAACTTAGTGGTGTACTAGGAAAACCATTAACAGATTTATTTAACCAATCATTGTTAACAGGAGTAGTCCCAGAAGACTGGAAATTAGCGAATGTTGTACCCATTCAAAAGAAAGGTAGTAGGGAGGAGTCGGGCAACTATAGCCAGTAAGCCTTAATTCAGTAGTAGGGAAAGTGATGGAAACCATGTTAAAGGATAGAATTGCTATACATCTAAAATCACATGGATTTCAAGATCAGAGACAACATGGGTTTACTTCAGGGAGATCATGCCAAACTAATCTTATTGATTTTTTTGATTGGGTAACTAAAATAATAGATCAAGGTGGTGCAGTAGACATTGCCTACCTAGATTTCAGCTTGTTCTGCTATTTTTCGTGTGCAATTCAGAGTACACTGAAATATCGGCGCCAGCCAGTAGGTGGCGCTGTGTATGGAGAGAGGCATATAGG